ATTACAGATAAAGAGGGTATTTATTGATAAAAGATACAGTTTAGCAGGAACATTTAACAATCCTTAACTTGTATTACTTAACCAACATAGCCTTGAAAAATATAAAGCAAAAATTAAAAATAAAGATGACATTCACAATCTCAGTTCTTAAGGTTGTTTAAAGCACTTTTCTTGATAGCAGATAAAACCAAGAGGCCAAAAATATTTGTAAGGAGAATATTTGAACAACATATGTAGCACCCTTCAACCATCAGTTTTGGAAACTGATGCACTTTATTTCAAGGATATATGAAACATTTATAAAAAGCAATCACGTTGTTGTTCAGTGACTCAGTCGTGTCTGACTCTTTGCAACCCCATGGACTGCAGCATGCCAGGCTTCCCTGTTCATCACCAACTCCTGGAGCTTGCTCAAACTCTTGTCCATTGAGTCAGTGATGCCATTCAACTATCTCATCCTGTCATCCCCTCCCCTTCTCCTCCTGCCCTCAATCTTTCCCAGCATCAGTCTTTTCCAGTGAGTCAGCTCTTTGCATAAGGTGGCCAAAGTATTGGATCTTCAGCTTCAGCTTCAGTCCTTCAAATGGATATTTAGGATTGATTTCCTTTAGGATTGACTGGTTTGGTCTCCTTGCAGTCCAAGGGACCCTCAAGAGTTTTCTCCAACACCACAGTTCAAAAGCATTTGGCATTCAGCCTTCTTTATGGTTCAGCTCTCACATTCATACATGACTACTGGAAAAACCATAGCTTTGACTATATAGACCTTTGTCGGCAAAGTAATGTCTCTGCTTTTTAATATGCTGTCTAGGTTTATCATAGCTTTTCTTCCAAGGAGCAAGTGTCTTTTAATTTCATGGCTGCAGTCACCATCTGCAGTGATTTTGGAGCCATAGAAAATAAAGTCTGTCACTGTTTCCATAAAGCAAAGCTCAAGACACCAAAGAATTGATGCCTTGAAGCACGGGCCAGCATCCATGGCCAGAAGGCCAAATCTAGCCTGCCATCTGTTTTTGTAAATACAGCGTTATTGGAACGCAGCCATACCCACTCATTTACATAGTGTCTATGGCTGATTTCACACTACAGTAGCAGAGTTAGGTAGTTGTAACAGAGAATATATTAATCTCAAAATGTAAAAATATTTACTATATGGCTTTTTACAGAAAAAGTTTACTGACCCCTGCCTTGGAGAATAAGACTTTGGAACACAAAGCAATGTTGGAGATCAATAACACACACACACACACACATTTTAGATATTAAAAATCACACCTCTAAATAATTCAAGGACCAAAGAAGAAAGTCCAAATGGAACTTACAGAATGTGTCAAGGTCTAACATTGAAATGTACATGTCAGACTTCCCTGGTGGTCCAGTGGTTAAGACTTCACCTTCCAATGCAGGGGGTGCAGGTTTAATCCCTGGTCAGGGGTTAAGATACCACATACCTCTTGGCCAAAAAAACCAAAACATAAAACAGATGCAATATTGTAACAAATTCAATGAAAAAAAAATTGTTTTAAGAAATGTACATGTCAAAAAATGGGATGTAGATAAAAAGGAACTCAGAGAAATTTCAGTGTTAAAAATGGTAATACTAGAATATAAGAACAATTGAAAATTAATGTGCCAAACATTTAACTCAAGAAGCTGGAAAAGCATGGCCAATTGATTTTTTATGGGTTGCCAGGACAATCCCACGGAGGGAAAACTAGTATTTTCATCAAATGGTGCTGCTGCTGCTGCTGCTGCTGCTGCTGCTGCTGCTGCTGCGAAGTCGCTTCAGTCGTGTCCAACTCTGTGCAACCCTATAGATGGCAGCCCACCAGGCCTCTCCGTCCCTGGGATTCTCCAGGCAAGAATACTGGAGTGGGTTGCCATTTCCTTCTTCAACACATGCACGCATGCTAAGTCGCTTCAGTCGTGTCCGACTCTATGTGACCCTAGCTAGTACAACCAGATATTGCATACAAAAGAATGAAATTAGACCCCTACCTCACACTATATACAAAAATTAATTTAAAATGTTTGAAGATCTAAATACAAGAGATAAAACTATAGAACTCTAAAAGAAAATACAGATGTGAATTGTAAAGAGGTTGGATTATGCTGCACTTTTGGAATATCGTGACCTTGGCTCCAGACTACTGCAATAAGGTAAGTTGCACACATTTTTTGGTTTCCTGCTACATATTAAAGTTATGTCTATACTATACTGTAGTTTATTAAGTTTGCAAAAGCATTGCATCTGAAAAAACAATGTATATAATTTTAAAATACAGCTAAAAAATGCTAACCATCATCTGACAACTTAGGGTTACCACACACCTTCCATTTGTAAAAAACACTCAATAAAGTGAAGCACAATTAAAAAAAGTATGCTTGTCATTTATTACATATGACACAAAAAGCAACAAAAGAAAAAAATGAATAAGTTGGACTGCATCAAAATTAAAAACTTCTGTGTTTCAAAGGATACTATCATAAAAATGAGAAGACAACCTACAAAATTGGAAAAAAATATTTGAATTTATCTGGTAAGGATATGGTCTCCAGAATATAGAGAGAGTAACTATAATGCAAGAATAAAAAGACAACCCAGTTGAGAAATGGACAAAGGATTTGAATAGACATTTCTCCAAAGAAGATATGTTGTTGTTTAGTTGTTAAGTCATGTCTGACTTTTTTGATCCCATAGACTATAGCCTGCCAGGCTCCTCTGTCCATGGGATTTCCCAGGCAAGAATACTAAAGTGGGTTATCGTTTCTTTTTCCAGGGGATCTTCCCAACCTAGCGATTGAACATGAGTCTCCTGCATTAGGAAGCGGATTCTTTACCACTGAGCCACCAGGGGAGCCCCCAGAGAGGATATACAAATAACTAATAAGCACACAAAGATATATTCAACATCATTAGTCATTAGAGAAGTGTAATTCCAAACCACAGTGAGATGCCACTGTACAGGCTTAGGATAGCTATAATAAAAAAGATTGGTGTTGACAAGGATATGGAGATCCTGGAACCCTGATACTTTGCTGGTAGGAATATAAATAGTGCAGCTCCTTTGGAAAACAGTCTGGTAGTTCTCTAAAAGGTTAAACATAGAGTTATTATGTGCATTGGGATGCTTCCACTCTTTGGCATATACCCAAAAGAACTGAAAAATATATGTCCACACCAAAATGTGTACATTAATGTTCAGACCAGCATTATTCATGATAGCCGAAAAAGTGGAAACAAACCAAATGTCCACCAACTAAAGGACAGGTAAACAAAATGTGATATACCTACACAGCGGATTATTATTTAGCCATAAAATGTAGTGAAGTACTGACACATGCTACAACATGAGTGAACCTTGAAAACATGCTAAGTAAAAAAGGCTAGACACAAAAGGCCACGTATTGCATGATTCCATTTATATGAAATGTCTAGAATAGGCAAATCCATAGAAACAGAAAGTAGATTACTGGTTGCCAAGGGCTGGAGGGATTGACTGATAATGGATACAGGGTTTCTTTTGGTGGTGATGAAAATGTGGAATTCCATAGAGGTGATGGTTGCACAAATTTGTGAATATACTAAAAACCAGTAAACTGTACACTTTAAAGTGGTGACTATTATGATGTGTGAACTGTATCTCAGTTTTTTTAAAAGAGAGAAAAGGAGGTAGAAAGGAAATATCAGAAAAAATAAGTTAAAATAGAAGGATGTAAATAAAATAAAATTAATGAAATAATGAAAACAAAAAGAATAAACAAAACCAAATCTAATTTTTAGGGGAAAAATATAAAAACAAAAGAGAAAATGCCCCAAAGTGAGCTTAATGAGTGTAAGCAAGTAGATTGAAAACAAAACCTTAAACTGTCTGAATGATGAATAAAACAAATGTGGATTCAATTATTCACAAGGTTATGCCTCAATTATGCCTCAAGGTTAACCGTTTCTACCCACCCATCTATCTCTGCTGTTCCTAGGGATCATAACTTGAACTCAGAGCCTTAAATAGAGTCCCCGTTTCTTTCCCATATTCTTCCCTCAAGGTCCAGATGTACAGAGAAATCCAGAAGAGCTGGGGATTCTATGGGGCTCTGCATTTTACAGGGGTTTATTTTGCAAATAATTTATTGGTTTATCTTGAAAATAATTTATTTTCCCAGCATCACAGACTCATTCACTTTATTTGTCACACTGGCCAAATTATTTCCAATATTTGTAGCATTGATAATATTTGGTCAAGGCAGGTGACTGACGCAGCTTGTTCTCCCCAATGTCTGTGGCTCTGAGAAGAGAGTACATCCCTAACTTGGCTCCACTTTAAAGGGCTGTGGGTTGTCCTAGTCATTTAATTCTGTGGCTCACAGGCTGCCCTTGAGTCCCATGGGGCTTCTTTCAAGACCTCCTACAAGCCAGACCCACTTCTATACTAGGCCTAGGATGCTTACTATACTTACTCTTTAAAAAAATAAAATTTGTCTTTTTTCTTTATTTTTGGCTGTGCTAGGCCTTCACTGCTGTGTGGGCTTTTCTCGGGCTTTTCTCTAGTTGTGGCAAGTGGGGTCTGCTCTTCATTGCAGTGCACGGGCTTCCCATCGCAATGGCTTCTGTCTTGTCGTGGAGCATGCGCTCTAGGGCATGTGGGCCTCAGTGGCTGCAGCACATGGGCTCAGTAGTTTGCAGCTCCCGGCTCTAGAGCACAGGTTCAACAGGTGCATGGGTTTACCTGCTCCAAGGCACGTGGCACCTTCCTGGGTCAGGGATTGAACCAGTCTGTTGTCTCCTGCACTGGCAGGTGAATTCTTCACCACTGAGCCCCCGGGAAGCCCTACACTTTCTCTTCCTCTACTCAGGTTTAAAACCCTGAACAGATCCAATATCCCCTTTAAAATACATGCTCTGAATTTCTCCTTTTATGGATTCATGGGTGATATACATCTTCACTTTATGCCCAGGAGGAATTAAAAGCAAAGTAAATGGCAGCTCAACTCTCTTGCAGATGGAAAGGAGAATGCCCTGCTTCCACAGAGCCCTGGGACCTTGCATGCTGGAGCTGAGACCTTCTCTCCCCGGGTCCGAAGAGCCACAACCTCAAGGACAGAGAGGATATGGCCGGGAGGGGTCATCCCGTACGTCATTGGAGGGAACTTCACTGGTCAGTAGCTCCAGATGAGGCTTGCTTGGGGCTGGGGCCTTTGTCTTCCCTGGTGGGCAAAGTCCTCCCTGCAAGGACTCAGGTGGGATGGATGGAACAGATGCTGGGGTGATAGCAGTCCCCATGCTTCAAGCTTCCTCATGACCACAGGGTCTAATGCACTCAGCCTGAGGAAACTGCAGTCTCATCTGGGACTCTGTCCTCAGAGGCGGTCACCTGGTCCCTGAGGCATTAGCCCAGAGCCTCCAGTACGATGTCACTCTTCCCCTCAAGGAGTCCCCAGTTCTAATAAGAGAGAGAAAGAGATGTGTGTTCTTAAAGAACTAAAATGTAGGAATTGTCATCAGCTACTAACTTTTGTTCCTTGGTATCTTTTTTGTTTGTTTTCTTTTTTTTTTGGCCTTGCCACGTGGCTTGTGGGTCTTAGTTCCCTGACCAGGGATCAAACCCATATTCAGTGCCGTGAACGCCCAGAGTCTTAACCATTGGACTGCCAGGAAAGTCCCTGTTTCTTGGCATCTTAACCATGTTCTTTCAGATCTAGTGTGCTTATCTTGACAAAGATTTACATAACTTTCATCAAAATTAACTAATTTTATAGAGAAAACTTTCTTTACAAAGGTATTTTTTATTCTATAATTAGTAGGATTGCTATTTTGGTGAATCATTGTTCTATAAACAATTTTAACTTTAAGTATCAAGATGGCTCCCCCAAAATGGACAGCTAAGTTACTCTTTATTCTGTATATATGTTTTAGGGGGCCAGTGAAATGACACCACACCCACATCTTCTAGATCATCATGGGAACCTCCTAGTGGTTTGTTGGTTTTCTGCAACGAAGTCATTCCAGAATTCAGATCCCATCCCCAACCTTCCTGTGTACTTCCCAAACAATTCTTTTTTTCTAGATCCTTCTCATTCCTTCTACCAAAATCAAAATACAGTTATCTTATTTATTTCAGACTGATAGATTTTGAAAAGGACACTTATTGACTGTATGAAACTATCAGCCTAGAGTTTGCAACTACTTTATTCTTGCTCCTAATTTACTTGTTGCTTTATTTTCAATGTCTAGTCAAGGAAATATGAAGAAAAGTTTGGAGGAAGTATGAAATTCATCTGTTCTCAAAGGCCTTGTAGAACATTAGGCTCAAGGATCCCCCAGCAAACACTGAACCCTAATGAAAAAATATCATGAGTGTACCTACAAATAGAATTTTTAGAGCATATGGGAATATACTCTCCTATAAGTAGAAAGTAAAACGAAGGGGTAGAATGCAATGCTGGTGAGTTACTTGAAAGGCCAAAAATTTCCAAATTGAATAACCTAAGTAACATTTTTTTAAAGTTTAGGAAAGTACTTTCAATACAAAGGAAAAGTTGGGAGGCTGGGGACATTTGAAAATCTATTTTTACCCTTGCTTCCGATTTACAAACTCCTACTCTCTAAGTTTTGGTTATTTGGGAAGGTTATATTGTATTCTTAGCCAGGGAAATCCTTAATCCTAGTTCATTTTAATTCTGGGTCACTGAAACAAGCTTTTTTTTTTTTTGATCATTGGAGCAAGCTTTGTTAATGAACCAGCGTGCTCTAGAACATCTAAGGAAGCTATGGACCCACGAGTGAATTGATGAGCACCTATCCTGTCATTTCAGGAAGCCAGAGGGCCATTTTTAAGCAGGCCATGAGACATTGGGAGAAGCACACCTGCGTGACCTTCATAGAGAGGACAGATGAAGAAAGCTTCATTGTGTTCAGTTACAGAACGTGTGGGTAAGTGAAAGTGAGTTCACCTCAGTGGAGACTGAGACAGACAAGTCAGGTGAACCATGAGCCTTGAATTTTCTCTCTAAAACAATATGTGTTCTAATATGCTGTAATATATAGGAGTCCAGAACTTGTCAGAAACTCTTCTTGCCCTCAACGAACTCACAGTCCAGGGACAATGTAGGTAGGTCTAGAGGAAGACTCCAGAATGACAAGGTGTTTATATTTCCTGTCATGGGAGCAAGCTGAAGGAATTGGGAATGTTTCATACGGAGAAGTGATTCTGAACCAACTGGGGGCCAGTGATCCCACTGAGAATCTGATGGAGCTATGGGCTCCCTCATGATGGATGTACATTTATGCAAAATTCTGCATGTAATTTTGTGAGCTCCATGGGCTTACAGACTTCCTCCAGAAAACATGATAAATAATAAGATGATTGGATTATAACCAAACTTATCTGTTATGCCAATAAATATAAGTGTGGTGTATTTTCCTGAAAGGAAAACTTTCTCATATTAGTTCAAAATCTTAAACCCAACTACATGCTATATATGTGAGAGGACTACTGAAGAAAATGATCCAGAAAGGTTTAAAAGTAAAAGGTAAGAAGGCATACAGGCATATACTAAAAAAAGAAAGCTGAGATCACAATGCTAGTTGTAGACAACACTTTTTTGTTGTTTCTTCAATTCATTTTTAAAGAAAGAAAGTGCTAAAAGAAAAAAAAAGGTGAGATACTTTATAATGAGAAAGAGTACAAGCTACAGTGAGAATGTAACAGTCATAAATCTTTATGCACAAAATGGCATAGCATTAAGAGTCATAAAACAAACCCCAAGGGTTTCAAGGGGAAATCGACAGAAACACCAACGGCAGAAGACTTTATTTCATTGCTGTCAACCCAAGTAGATCAATGTCAAGTTAACCAAAAAATAAGTAGAGATTTGTAGAGGACTGGAAAAATGTAATTAACAGAGTTGAGCCTCTGGGTCTACCAGATTCTATAACCTATAACACATTTTAAAAATGCCTCTTAAACATTTATAGATATGGTTTATCTATTAAGTGTTAAAAATACCTCAATGTATTCTAAAAGTCCAAAATAAAATTAAAATATTCTCTGATTGTAAAGCAATGAAACTGGACATAATAACAACAAAAATAGAATAAATGCTCCTGCATTACCTGTTAAGACCTCCCCTCCCCGCTCCCCCTGGTTTTTTACAACTCTTAGGTTTTAAAGAAATCAGGATTAAAATTACAAGACATCTAGATAGCAAAAGCCTCACGGTTCAAAATTGAAGAGATCTGGGTAAAGCTATGTCCAGAAAAAACCACGTAGCCTCAGATATCCACAAATCTGAGAATTAAGAATGACAGTGAAATATTCAATTTGAAGAAGTTAGCAAAACAAATGAATACATAAAACCCTCCACCACAACAAAATAAACCTCACGAGAGCAAGAAAATGGACAAGGTAACACATTATAGAACTGATAAATTGGAGACTGACTTCTTCGAATAAACAAACAAAAAACTGTAGATAAACTAATTACTTGTTAGTCTAAGACAAAAAAGTGGCAGTGCAGAAACATACAAAGTTAGACATGCAAAAGGGAGAAGTAACCACAGATTCAGCAGAATCATAAAAAAGAACTTTATAAACTCTAGGGAAAGAAATGTTGAAATCTGGATGATGTGATTGACTTCAAGGTAGATATAAAGGACTGGCACAGACCAGTAACTTTGAAAGAAATTGGAAAATCAATGGAGAAACTTTCTCCTCCATACCATTAACCTAGAGTTTCACAGATGAATTCTTTCAAAACTTCAAGAAACAGATCACTCTGGTACTATTTAAGTTTTTTAGAGCATAGAAGAACACATTCTTCCAATTTACTTCTAATAAACTATCATGGTGTTGCTACCTCAAAATGAAAAAGATGGCACTAAAAAAGAGAAAATTATAAACTCATCTAACTTATGAACAGCCATGCAAAATCCTAACTAAAATGTTGGCACATAGAACACAGCAGTAAAAGAATAGAAGAGTAGCCTGCCAAAAAGGTTTAATCTAAGGAATACAGGACTAGTTCAACATTAAGAAATCTATCTGCATGATTCAACATATTGGTAGCTCAAAGGAGAGAAGCCATATTCATGTCTCAATAGGTGCTAAAAAGGCATCTGCACATTTCAGCATACCTTCATGATAGATCCTTGACTTAACACATCCACATATACACATTAACATAACACACACAAATCAAATATATATATATATATATCCCAAAGCCCACATCGTGTTTATCAATGATAATTCTAGAAGCATTTCTATTAGAATCAGGAACAAAAGATGTTTATGATCACCATAGTTATTTCACATTTTTTTTCTGGAAATACTAGCTAATGTAATTTGACATGAGAAAGATAAACACAATGAATATTGGCAAGAACAAGTATTGTTTGAAGTTAATGTGACATGTGGTGAAAAAACCCAGAAAATCAATAGGAAAACTATCAGAAACAAAAGGAGACTCTATTAAGGTAACTGACTACAAAATTAATCAATAGTAAATAACTTTTGCCTTAATGACATAATTTGATACAGTAATACTTTCATAATGGGGGAAATCACAACTTTAGTAGAAACATAGTAGATAATATATCTAAGAATAAATCATAACAAAAATTCAAAAATATGCCAGCCATATAGGAAGGAAACAACAAAATTCTAAGGAAACTTTAAAAAAAAGAAGTAAAAATGGAAATACATACTGTTTCCTCATATGGAAATGCCCAACATAGTAAAGATGTCAGGACTTCCTAAAATAACCTATAAATTCATGCCATTCTGATTTAAACAGCATCTTCGTATATGTATTTGTGGGTGTGTATGTACATATATTTTAAGAGCTTGAATAAATGATATTAGAGTTTTTCATGTAGAAATAACAAAGAGAACAAACAATAGTGATGGGAACAGAGGTAGGGGAGGAGAAGAGGTCTGATGTTCCATCCCAACATATATGATGTCAAAATGCAAATGAAGGGCTTCCCTGGTGGCTCAGCGGTAAAAAAATTGGTCTGCCAATTCAGGAGACACGGGTTCAATCCCTGACAAGATCCCACATGCCACAGAGCAACTAAGCCAGTGTACAACCATTGAGCCTGTGCTCTAGAGCCTGGGAACCACAACAAGAGAAGCTACCACAAAGAGAAGCCCACGTACCACAACTAGAAAGAAGCCTGTGCAGCACTGTAGACCCAGCAGAGCCCAAAATAAATAAATAAAATTATGTTTTAAATGCAAATGAAAATAATAATTAAAACCATTTGGAACTCAAGAAAAAAGTAGGTACATGGAACGAAAGAGCTTAAAATGAATATGTTTATACACTAATTTAGGTAGCATTTTAAATGAGAGAAAGATGGATTAGTCAGGGATATGTGACTACTGGGATAATTCAGTAGCTCATTTTAAAGAAAATAAAGCTGGGATACTACCACACTTCATATACCAAAAATGATTCTGGCCAGATCAAAGATGTAAGCATTAAAAAAAATGTGTTTTCATATTTATTTTTGGCTTTGCTGGGTCTTCATTGCTGTGCAGGCTTTTCTTGAGCTGCAGCAAGCAGTGGCTACTCTACAGTCGCGGCGCTGGCTTCTCTTGTTGCTGAGCACCGGCTCTGGGGCATGCAGGTTCAGTAGTTACAGCTCTCAGTCTCTAAAGCACAAGCTCAATCGTTGTGGCACATGGGCTTAGTTCCCCCACGGCATGTGGGAGCTTCCCAGACCAGGGATTGAATCCATGTCTCCTGATTCTTTACTACTGAGCCACCAGGGAAGTCCAAATGTGTAAGGATTTTTAAAAGAAAAAGAACAAATGTGAAAAGTACTAGAAGGAAGCAAGATTGCATATTAATTATAATCTTGCAGTGTAGATGGCCTTTCTAAATAGCACATAAGAAAATAAAGACATTGCATTAAAATTTTAAACCTTTATATGGCTATAACAAAAAAATAACAGAGGGTGAAAAAATTTGTAATGCATTTAAGAGTCAAAGATTTAATCCCCTAATTTTCAAAAGGTTCTTACAAATCAGTAATAAAAAGATGGACAACCCTCCCCTCCTCCCCAACTGGAGGAAGATGTGATCTCATAGTTCACAAGAAAAAAATATAAACATCACATTAAACATGGAAAACTATCCAGCTTCAGTGAAATACCACTTTTTATCTATCAAATTGGTAAAAGTAGTTTGGCAAAACCAGGGCTGGCCCAGTTGTGGGGAAATAGGGCTATTTAACATACTATTAATGGGCATGTAAAAAGACACAACATTTTGGGATTGCAACTTGATAGTATCTATCAAAATATCAAATGCACATATCCTTTTATCCATTGATTCCATTGCTTGGAATTTACCCTACCAAAAGCAAGTAAGACTCCAGTGGTTTCTTTGTTTTGTATTTTGTTGTTTGTTTTGTCTCCCTCTTCCCTGAGGCTTCGGTTAAATAGAAAAAACTGAAGTCAGTCTAAATGTGTGTTAATAAGAGACTGATTAAATAAATTTTAATACTATGTTGCTTTGAAAAAAATTAGGTTAACATTTACTGTTATGAAAATATCTATGAATTAAGGAGGAAAAAAGGCAAGATGAAGGGCAATGTACATGATGTATTTTGTAATTAAAAATATTATATGTGTATATACAGATGTATTACATTTTTTGGACTAGAATTTGAGAAGCTGTCAACAATAGTTATCTTTGGAACCTTAATACTGTACTTAAATCTTTTGTGACATGGGCATGTATTTTTTAAATATTTTATAGAAGTTATCTGAGTGGTGGGGTTATGGGCCATTTTAATTTACTTTTTACAGCTTTCTATATTAGGAACAATGAATATATATTTTAAAAAATAATTGTGCCCAGAAGGGAAGTCATTTCTAAGGCTCCTCTGATAATAGCAAAAAGACTCATGCTTTACAGAAACTCAGGGGCTCCTTCCTTTGTCTCTGCCTTGTCATCAGAGACTCAGGGATAGAAGGGTGGGGGAAGGTATGTACTTTTTTCCTGGAGGAGAGGCCGTATCTTTCTAAGGATTCTCCAGGCCACCAAAAAGGTCAAGAGCCATTTTTGGAGGGAATTCCTGCCTTGGGAGGGAAGTTGGATAATGAGATTGTTTTCAAGCTTCATTCCCTGATCTGCTGACCTGGGTATTTCTGCAATTGTCCAGCTGTTGTTCCTATGTTGGGCGCCGAGGTGGAGGCCCACAGGCCATATCCATTGGAAAAAACTGTGACAAGTTTGGCATTGTGGCCCACGAGCTGGGCCATGTGGTTGGGTTCTGGCATGAACACACCCGGCCAGACAGAGACCACCATGTAACCATCATCAGAGAAAACATCCAGCCAGGTAAGGAGTCTGTATGGAGCCTAGAAGCCAGCAGTCAGGCAGGTAGCATCATGGGGTCAGGAGGGACGAAAGAGAAGGGCAGACTGACACTCGTTTGTAAATATGGAGGCCTTTGTCACCAGCGCTTTGTCCTTTGTCCATCTGTGGTCCTTCCTGGGAGGTCATCTGCTAGAGCTTTCAGGTTAGAGCAGAAGCAAAATGATTCCATGTTGTAATGGACAGTGAAATCCAACTCCATTTCCTAACAGGAACAGAATCGACCAGAATACTGTTGCAGCATCAAAGCTACTCATCCAAAAAAAGAGTTCTCCCAGTTGCTTTTCTAAGGCTCATTTTTGATGATGTAGGCAACACATATTTTTGAAACTGAAATATAATTAGGACACAAGTACATGAAAAACAGCATTTCTGCCTATCCCAAGGCAGATAAAGTGTCTAGATTTCTTAAAAATACCTCCCTGTGTTAAACAGTTTTATACAGAAATTCATATTGAACATGAAAGTCACTGATTGAATCATATATTTGACTTAAAAATGCTTTCAAGAGTCTGAATAGTAAATTTGAGATTGAACTTAAATATTGGATTTCTTTTCTTTGTTCCTTCAATAGCAAGACTAGAGATTTAAAGGCAATTTTTTAATTTCATAACTAACCTGTCTATTAACTTACTTTAAGGGTTTTGAGAGGCATTTTGGGAGGGGTGTTGGGTGGTGGGGTTGGGACCACACAGAGCTGTTCTAAGTTTCAAATTTCTAATCTGTCAAAAACAACAAGAAGAACCACCACCAAGCCTGTCGTTTGACTGACTGACAGAGCTCTCGGAAGTTGCTATGGGCCCTCCTTCTCCCTCCTCTGCCTCCTTTCAGGTGCCTGCCTTGGTTTTCAAAGACCTTAACAGAGTGTTGTGTCACAGGTCAGGAGTATAATTTCTTAAAAATGGAAGCTGGGGAAGTGAGCTCTCTGGGAGAGATGTACGACTTCGACAGCATCATGCACTACGCCCGAAACACCTTCTCAAGGTCGGAATCTATGGTTACGCCTCATCTGTGTTGTACTGTGCCTGCCGCAGGCGGGGGTCAGATTCCAGGAGGTCTGCGGAGAGCAGGTCTCTGCATGTTCCTAGCAGAGTTGGCCTGTCTGTCCTTGAAATACGGTGGCCTCTGGGCTGCAGTGAAATATAATCTAATCAGGTTCCTGCTAATAAGATTGAATCCCATTGTGAAGCTGGTGTTTCATCATGCCCTCATGTCACTAGCAGCAAACTGGAAAAGGGAAATTATTGAGGGGTTGGCTGGAATCATAACTTAGAGGCTCTGCGTAAAATTTCCAGCGGGTGGGGCCCTTTTCTAAAGTACATCCAACCAGGTCTTCTAGAAGAGGTGTGGTTTATTGGAAGCTAGACTGTGTCAGAGTTGGGAAGGTGGTAAATCAGGGGTTCATTTTAGAAGAAAGTGGGGCTCCAGCCAGTTGGGGGGCTCACAGTTAGTGGAGGTTGGAATGAGAACAAAAATCCAGGACTCCTGCCTGCTGGCCACATGTGATGGTAGCTGGTGTCCTCAAGCCTGGGCAGGCCAGTTATTTATGGCTGGCCTCAGCAGGATCGGTTTTGATGAGCTCATGCTGTGCTGGACCCAGTGTTAAGTATTTTGCATATTACCCTTGCTTCTGTATTACTGTATTATCCTATCCTTATCATGTAAGTATTTTGTATAGAGAAGTGTTTCACTGCTTGTCCCAGTTTTGTAGATCTTTCCACTCGAGTTATTTTTCTCTCTTGGCATTTTTTCCCCTTAGTTTCAACCTAAAATCAGCTTTTTATTTATTTAATCATTAAATAAGATTTAAGGTGATTCCCAATATATACAAGAAAAAAAAATAGGTGAGGAGATTTGGAGATGTGAAGAGGGAAAAAATAAGGGTAGATAGCTAAGTTGAAGCTTGGAATCTATTTGGTATTCAGAATATATGCCACAAAGTCCTGTACCCTTTGTGGGGTTGGCAGCAAATCCTGCCCCATGCTTCCTAGCAGGTCATAGCAAAGAGGGAAACAGTCTATTTCATGAGTCTATGTCCATCAAGATCAAAGGAAACCATTAGTACAAGAGACACACAGCTCTTGGGAGTGGAAAGGACACTGTTTACCCAGACTTCTTGGCTCTTGGGTACAGCTTCTGAAAGCATCCTGTCGATAAGGTCATACTACCATGGGTGACATCCTCCACATCTCAGCATCCCAAGTTCCAAGGGGGCACTGGTCCTCTGGCCACACAACTGAGTTATGATCGCCATCCTGCATCCAGGCAGGAGCTCTCCAGTGCTTTGGTGGGTGGCGTTTTGCCCAAAGTCAGCATCTTGGAACACCTGGCATGGTATTGACCTACCCACTTCTCTTTACTCTTCTTCTGGCTCTTTATCAGAAGATACAGAAGGCAATATGATTTAATGAAGAGACCACTGACCTGAGAATCGAAGGCTGAATTCTAGCCCTCGTTCACCCATGCACCTTGCTGTTGAAGGAGGTCTGTATAGTAGTTAGGGGCAGATTTGTGTGGGATCAGATCTCCACCTTCCTGGGCCTCAGTTCCCTCATGACAGAGTTGGAACAGATGTTTTCTGAGCCCTTCTAGCTCTAACATTTCATGTTATAATTTCTTAACCAGAATGGGTGAAGGATTGACACGTATGATCTCACACATTGCCATAAGGGAATCTGAGGCTTCCTCTTCCACACTGGGAAATGGAGACTTTGAAGGACCTAGCCTGGGGCTCTGAGAGGCAGGTTGAGTGCCCCCTCTGCAGATATTGGAGGTGGGATGCTTGGATGTGGTGGTGGTACTGACTCCCAGGTTTGGGAAGTGGTGCAGGGAATAGCCAGCTTGCACCACATTAGCTCAGGGAGTTGCTAAGTGGAGCCAGAGTATTGATTTTTTCAGGGAATCAAGGTCAAGTTGGTCCAATTGAGAAGCTTGTACCTTGTTGTTGTTGTTAAGTTGCTCAGTAGTGTCTTACTCTTTGCGGCCCCATGGACTGAAGCACGCCAGGCTTCCCTGTTCTTCACCATCTCCTGGAGCTTGCTCAAACTCATGTCCATTGAGTTGGTGATCCCATCCAACCATCTTGTCCTCTGTCATGCCTTTCTCCTCCTGCCTTCAATCTTTCCCAGCATCAGGGTCTTTTCCAATGAGTCAGCTCTTGGAATCAGGTGGCCAAAGTATTGAAGCTTCAGCATCAGTCCTTCCAATGAATATTCAGGGTTGATTTCCTTTAGGATTGACTGGTTTGATCCTCTTGCAGTCCAAGGGACTCGCAAAGTTTTCTCCAACACCATAGTTCAAAAGCATCAGTTCTTTGGCATTCAGCCTTCTTTGTGGTTCAACTGTCACATCCACACATGACTACTGGAAAAATGATTGCTTTGACTAGACGGACCTTTGTTGGCAAAGTAATGTCTCTACCTTTTAATACACTGTTTAGGTTGGTCATAGCTTTTCTTCCAAGGAGCAAGAGTCTTTTAATTTCATGGCTGCAGTCACCATCTGCAGTGATTTTGGAGCCCAAGAAACCTCCAAAAGTATCTCCCTGTTTCCATTGTTTCCCCATCTATTTGCCATGAAATGATGGGGCTGGATGCCATGATCTTCATTTTTGAATGTTGAGTTTTAAGCCAGCTTTTTCACTCTCCTTTTTCACTTTCATCAAGAGGTTCTTTAGTTCCTCTTCACTTTCTGCCATAAGCGTGGTGTCATCTGCATATCTGAGGTTATTGATATTTCTCTGGCAATCTTGATTCCAGCTTGTGCTTCATCCAGCTCAGCATTTCTCATGATGTACTCTGCATATAAGTTAAACAAGCAAGGTGACAGTATACAGCCTTGATTTTCTCCTTTCCCAATTTGGAACCAATCCATTGTTCCATGTCCTTGTACCTTGGGTCTTGTTTTTATAGATGCCAAATCTCTTCATATTGCTTTATAACTTATCTATTAATTATTTGCATAAACTTGTTTATTATTATTTATCTGTTGGGACTTCCCTGGTGGTCCACTGGTTAAGACTTCACCTTCCAATGCAGAGGGTCCAGATCTGATCCTTGAAAACCAAAACACAAAACAGAAACAGCATCATAACAAATTCAATAAAGATTTTAAAAATAATCCACATAAAAAAAAATTTATCTGTTGTATTCTTCTCTCCTTCACAGAACTGAGGTCTTTGTGGATAGAGACCACCTCATTCTCTTCTATTCCCCAGCACTCAATACAGTGCCTGACACAGAGTAGCTGTTCAATAAATATTTGTCAAGTGAACCAATTAATGAATGAGTCCAAGGAGACAGGAAATCTGTAGTGCTGGGGACTTAGGTTAGGGAATAAATGTCCATCATCTGACAACAATTCTTCCCATATACAGATACAGTGGTCACTTCATTAAGAAGAATCTACACATTTCTATTATGTAGGAAATTTCAGAGAGATTACTACTGATGGGTTGTAGAAGCTTAATTGCCTTCTCCATGCCTGCAGTGTACCAGTTACTATGCAAAGTTCTATAACTAGAGCCCACGGCAAGAATGCAGACAAATCTTCTCTTCTTGCACCAACATTTCTTTTCTTGTCTTTTCAGAAAAAAATTCTTTCTTTTTTTTTTTTTTTAATTTCTAACCCACCAGGGAAGCCCACCCCCTCCTGCTACCATGATGTTACCTATTGTCACTGTACCTGGCATGCATGCTAAGTCCCTTCAGTTGTGTCCAGCTTTTTGCGAACCTATGGACCATAGCCTGCCAGGCTCCTCTGTCCATGGGATTCTTCAGGCAAGAATATTGGAGTGAGTTGCCATGCCCTCCTCCAGGGGCTCTTCCCAACCCAGGGACTGAACCCGAGTCCCTTTCCTTCTTCTGCATTGACAGACAGGTTCTTTACCACTAGCACCACCTGGGAAACCCTGTCACAGCACCATCTACCCCCAAACTTGGCAGCTTATAACAGCTTATTTTTTTTAATGACACTGTGTGGGTCATCCTGATTCATTCCTTGCTGGTCTTGCCTGGGATTGCTGTCACGACAATAACCATTAAAACTCCTAAGACCTAGGCTTTAGAATGTGCATGACATTATCTCTGTCACATTTTTTTTATTGACCAGAGCAAGGCACAAGTCTAGCCCAGATTCAAGTGATGATGAAAGACATTCTACCTCTTAATGGGAGTACTTGCAACTTCACATTGCCAAGAGATATGGCTGTTAGGAGGCACAATTTGTTATTTTAACAATCCACCATAGTTACCTTCACACCCTGCCCCAGAGCTGAGAATGGTCCCAGGAGATCTGTTTTGTCGCCTGTGTCCTCTATGCTAATTTTCTTTATGGATTTTCAGAAAACTACTTTGTTCAATGGGGATATTTATCAATGGAGTCTTTAACTAAGGGTATTTCCTGGTCTACTTTTGTTAAATTTCCCCCCCTTCTTAACCCTCTGGCATTACTCTTGGTCAGGTGTCCCCTGGATCTAGCCTGCCTATCATCTTTGATTCTGCCAAAGACCAGAAAATGCCTACAGAACATTCTCTCATCTCTGGGGCAAATGCTGTTCTTGCTGTTGGGAAACTCAGTCTTCATGTGTCTTTACAACTGAGCTGTCTGCTTCCAACTTCATTCCTTCTAGTTTATTGCAGTTCTTGCCTCCTCCCCTTGGTTGGACCCAGGCTGTGGGGAGTGATATCTTTGGAGGTTTTGTGGGCAAGAGTCCAAGAGATGAGGAGACAGTTCTCTGGTACAGGAGCGTCTTTGGAGAACTCCGAGCTGACAGTTTTATTCCCTAAGGGCATCTGCCAAAGCTTTTCTTAGTTTAGCAGAATGTCAATGCTAAGGGTTGTCCTACATAAAAGGGGGGATGTGACTGCAGCAGTTTACACAGGGACGTCTCTTGGGGTAAACATCTTCCAGAGCCCACCGCAGTGCTGCCCGCCCCAGGATGTGCTTGGGGGGAGGTGGGAAGGGGCTCTCAGCTTGCAGAGCCATCTGACTGTGAGCCGTGGTTGTTCCTGCTTCTTTGGTTTTTGAAGTCTCCTCACTTCCTAACTATCAGGCGTCTAACGCACCTGAAGATCTGTTTCTTGGGTGGTGGGAAACACCGGCTGGAGAGAGGATGATGTCAGGAGGGGGTGTCCAGGCCTGCCTGCGTTCAGGTCCAGAGTTGGCTCCCCATCACTAGCTTTGTCCTCGGGTGAGTCTCTGAGGCTCTGCAGGTTGGTATTCTCACCCGTAGAGAGGACCCCGCATAATAACAGCACCTGCTTCTTAGGGTGTTATGAGGATTAAATGAGAGGGTGCATTTAGAGGGTTCAGCCAGGTCCTGGCACGTAGGCGGTTCCCATGAATGGACAGTGTGTATGAGCACACACTGCCCACACAGCAGGCTGCTGGCCGAGTCGCCTGCCCCGTGTGAGTTTCCACAGTGTCAGTTAGCCTGCGTTGCCAAGAGATTATACCGAGCCCTGCATTTTGTGCAGCAAAATGTCTTTCTCCAGGGGAATCAAGACAACAATTACAAGTAAATACGTTTTATATTGGAGCAGAAGCACCCATTTTTAGATTCACAGGTGACTGGATTTAGAATTTTATGTAGTCATCCTTTGTGGTTTTACTCTTGGTGAAACCGGTGAGGTCAGTGAGAGAGACCAGGGATTCCACAAAAGTCTCTCTAAAGGACCCAGAGATGAGGCAATAGTGAGAGACAGGCCAGGTGGTTAAATGTTGGGGCAAGCGATTCTGAAACGGACATCGGCAGACAAACTGGTTAACAATGAAAAGAAAGTAAGCTTGAAATCTGATTTAGGAAAAGAAGAAATATATACAAAAACAAAAAGGAAGAAACAGGGACTAATATATATTTTCAAAGGCAATGCTGACCTTAGGGAAAAGAAAACGTTTGAAAGTGAGAGAGAAGAGAAAGGAGAGAGCAGCTAATAACTAGGTAACAGGCATTTTTTGCGTTCCCTTTTGAGTCTAAATAGCTATTTTGCAAAACCTTTTGATGCCAGTGTCCTGTCTTGGCTATGGGATTTAATTCAAGAAGCCTTTGTTGAGGTCTGCTCTGCTATAGTTCCCTTGAGGGCAGAGATGAAGGACCTGGTCTCTCTGCTGGAGGAACTTACTGTTTAGCACAGAAGATAATTATCATCAATCCCAAAAGATAATACAATTTGATAAGAAGAATAATATCGAATTAGACAAGAAAGGCCCAGAGGAGGGAACAACTCACTCAGGATGGGAGGGATAGAAAGTGCTCAGTAAAGACTTCTAAAAGGGATAGCCATCTGCTGGAGTTTTGAAGAATGATCAGGAGTTTGGTAGTGAAGAAGATGGGTGGTGGGCAGCCTTGGCAGAGGACAGCTTGCTTAAGGGCATGTTTGGGGCAAGAAGGAGGATGAGGTTGTTTATGGTAAAGGTGGAGGAGTCAGGAGAGGAAGGCTGAGCCAGAGAGTCCTGGGCCTGGAGCTTCAGGTGATGGTAGGAAGTGGGTGAAGGCCTCCAAGCAGAGCGGACACATGCCTGCCCTTATATCCAGGATTTTCACATTGCTGCATTGGGTGGGAAGTGAAGAGTGGCTGAGCCTACAGTGGGGTGACTACTGGAAAGAGTTCAGGAAGGGAATGCTGATAGCTAAGGCAGTGGTCTGGAATGAGGAGGAGGGCATAGATTCAAAGAATGGATAAAGTGTGCTACAGACTGGCCCTGGTTCCTGGTTTCAACAAGGGAGTGAGAGGGAGAAAACAAAGCCAAGGGCACCTTCAAATTCAGTCTCAGGTTCATGGAAGGAGCAGGAAAATGGAGTGCATTAGGTTTTGAATGAATTAGATTTAAGAACTCCATAGGACAGTGCAGTGGAGGGGTCACTAGACATATCTCTTAGCAGATGGTTCTAGAACTGGAATCAGAGAATTAGCTGTCAGCCTATAGGTATTCCCTGGTGGCTTAGACAGTAACGAATCTGCCTGCATTGTGAGAGACCCAGGTTCGATCCCTGGGTCGGGAAGATCCCCTGGAAAAGGAAATGGCAACCCACTCCAGTATTCTTGCCTGGAAAATTCCATGGACAGAGGAGACTGGTGGGCTACAATCCATGGAGTTGCAAAAAGTCAGACACGACTGAGCGACTAACACTATAGGTGTTGGTTAAAACCCAGAGAGCAGGTGGAGCAGGAGAGAGGAAAGAAGAGGGAGAGGGCAGAATTCTAGGAATAGCATTTCCAGGAGGCAGGAGATGTAGATCCTAACTTGAGAGAGCAGTGCCTGGGGAACCAGGGAGAGGAGAGTCTGAGAAGGGGGGGCCCGGCAAAGGTGATCATGAAGCAGAGAGAGCCACTGAGCACTGACAAGGGTGACCCACGTGTTGATCACTGGCTGGTGACTGGTGACCATTGCTGGTGAGGTCAGATCGCAGTTGGATTGAGGAGTGAAGGAGCAGGAGGCAGCCAGACTCAGTATGGAGACGATTCTTTCCAGATCCTTGGTTAAGAAGGGATGGAAAGGAACAGGGTGGTAACTGGAGAAGGCCCTGCCCTCCAGGAGAGGTTCCTGATCGGGGTCTGGAAGCAGAGTGAGAGGGTCAGGCAGGGGGTTAACCACGCCCATGACAGGGAGATGTGAAGAGAGCCGGTGTCATCCAGGCAGGCTGGTGGGCTTTTGTCTGCTTTGCTCCTCTTAGCTTTCATTCCCACTGGAGCAGAGTGAGATGGTTAAGTTCAAAGAGGCTGCCATGACCATCTAAACCAACCTCTCACTGTCCAGAGGGGCAAAGTGAGGCTCAGAGAGGGAAGGGACTTGTCTGAGCTCACCAGATGGCAGTCAGGCCTTAGACAGAGATCTCTAGGCCAGAGCTGTCCTGTATTCAGCCCATTTTCCATCTGATTATCCCTCCTGCCTGCAAGGCCCCTAAACCCTGAACACCTTCTTTCACCAACCCATCAACCAGCTCTTGCTAACCAGCCCCTCCCTGAGAACCTCTCACTGTACTGGTTCCCAAGCTCTCTCTGGAGCCTCTCCAAGACCTATCCACATTGGGAGCTGCCCGTCGCACAACTCCAGAGGGCGCCACTCACACGGTCGTCTCTGAATGGTGCTCCCTGCGGGGCGGTGTTGGTGGGGGGACCCTGAGGGCTAGACCTGTCAGGGAATTTGTGGAGATGCTCAGGACACTTCAGTAAGGAAGCCCTCACGGCCACTGGGCTAGGGCATATTTTTAAACTTGGCAGAGTCATTTTCCCATTGGAAAGGGAGCTGGCAGCTGAGGAAATGGAATGCTAACATGGCAGCCCCAGGCAAGGCAGCCCCGTGAGTCACACCACCAGGGGTGGGCAGGCCAGGAGGTAGGAATGTGGATGGGGTGTGGACAAGGACATGAAGACTCTAAACCCCGACACGGACGGCCTGACAGGCTCGACTTTTCACTCTCCTTTCTCTCTCCTTTCTTCCTATAGAGGAGTTTTCTTGGACACCATCCTCCCCCGACGAGATGACAATGGTGTCAGGCCAACCATCGGCCAACGGGTGCGGCTCAGTCAGGGAGACATAGCTCAAGCCAGGAAGCTATACAAGTGCCCAGGTAACTGTAAATCATGGGGTTCCAGGGCCTCCAGAGCACCACAGACCTCTCAACCACTGTTTGCAAGCTTCCCCGGGGCTGGGAAAACACCTCGAGGAGTGTGAACAGTCTCTCCCTTGGCAGCTGCCATTCCCAGTGTGCTGCTATTAGGAGGCGGTAGACAGTGCAGAAAGCCCAACTGGCGGAGTGGTTGCAGGCAATGAAGCAAATGATGGCTCTTAGAGGCCACAACTTAACTTGTGGGAAGCTTTGGAACTCTCTGGCAAAGCCCTGATGGTCAGAAGAGGAAGAAGTCATAGTGGAACAACAGTGAAGGGGGGTCCAACGTGGTGTGCGTGCCACAGGGGTGAAAGCGCTCTCCTTGCTAAGGGGGTCGGGGAGGTGGGTTTAGTGAAACAGTAACCCAGGGTTTTGCAGAAAGGCAGAGTGAGGGAGCATGTTTTTGGAAGGGTGGAAGCCGGCTTCCCAAACACTGGAAGGCAGAGGGTATCTCAGTGCTGTAAATGAAGTCACTTCTGTTATCTCGGGCTCTCCTAACCGTCCAAGGTGCTCGTCTGTGGCCAATATTCTGCCACTGGAGGCTGGACAAGACACTGGATCCCAGCAGATGTCTGTTTCTCTTCCAGGTCAAAAGCCCCACCCCTTGAGTTTGCCCTCTTTGCTTCCATCTCATGGGCTTCAGCATCATCACCTCCCACCCCCACCCCCCGCACCTGCTTGCCACCCTCGGAGAAACTCACGTCGGCCCCTTTAAGTTGCTGAGCTTAAGTGGAAAGCACTACTTTACGGCAGGCACGTCTCCACCAGTGATAGGAGAAAAGGCAATTTGGTGGCTTAGAGAGGAAAAAGGAAGTTCCGCTACCAAAAGGTCTGCTTATCTTTTCCAAACTCTTAGACCAGACCTGCATATGATCATAGGACAGAATATTTGAAATAGGGGCAATCTTTGAAAATTGGCCTGTCACCTTTTTTTTTAACCACACTGCCAGCAGGATGCACTCACTCATAAAGCCACAACCGTACTCGGTCCCTGTAGGATGGCAGTGCTGGTGCTGCTTCCCTCCCAGGCCACCGTTCTGGGAGACTCACTTCCTCCTACAACCCACTTCCCGACCATCTGTGTCCTGAACCTGCCCAGGAAAGCCCTCTGGCTGCCCCAGCTTGTGTGCAGAGGACCGTGTGGGACTGCTCCATCAACTGCTCCACAACTCCAGGAAATGTGTCCATCCAGCTATTAGTCGTCTGGGGCTGTTTTAGGGCTGAAATACAGGACACATGTATCATATAACCCTGCTGCATTGAAAGAGAAATCTTATAGCATTCCCTGGGAAATGCCATAGTATTTATTTAGTTATAATGTATATATGTATGCCTCTTACTTCCCCCTGAAGGATTGGAAGCAGCTGGTAAATACCATGGAGCCATACAGTAATGTGTCTGTCCCTGCAGAATGTTGATGATTATTCTAAAATAATTTCCACAGAACCCTCAGGGGTGTTGACTGCTAGGCGTAATCCTCATGATGCCTGGCAGTTGTTCAGTAACATGATATCGAAGCCCCGATATCCAGGATTTCCTGAGGTCAAGGATGGGCCGTTCTCCAGCCATCCCTTCCTACAGCTCCCCAAACTGCATCTTCAAGTAGTTTCAAGCAGTCATTGAAAGCAAAGGTGGTTGCCACGCAGAGGCCGCATTGAATGGAGGAAAAGAAGCATAAGGAAGTGTGTGTCCCACACTTTGGAGGTGGCCCCACGAATCGAGGGGCGCTCAGCAAACCAATGCTCTTGTCTTTGAGTTCTGAATCCCTAGAGGTGAGGGGATACGAAATGCACAGCTTCCAAGCTTATGCCTACAGACATTGTTTCTTTTGAGGACAGGTTAGGGGAAATACTGCTCATATACATAGGACTAGGTTCCAGACTCCAGGCAGCCCTCAGACATTCAAGGGAAGAATATCCCACTGTAGAATGTGCCAGCTTCCTGTGCTGCTGGTCATTTTCCTTCCTTTTTTGACTATTCCGTGCTCTTTCAGAGGTGGGTAGCAGAAAAAGAAGAGACAAGATCTCACTTAACAGCTGATGTACATTTCAAAGTGTTTTGTTTTCTCTTTTTGCTCCACATGCTTGCCCTTTTGTATTTTCTCTGCCACAGATATTATTAGCAGTAATTATAATGGCTGCTATGTAGGGGGTACTCATGGTGTGTCAAGCACTGTGCTGAGCCGTTTCATGTAAAGCAGATGGTTTCATTAATCCTCTAAGCAGGTCCCACCCATTTCACAGATAAAGAAAACTGAGACCCAGCAGAGCTGGGACATGTGCCCACCACTAAACAGCCAGCTGGAGAACTGAATTCAAAGCCAGCTCTAGGCTGTGCTCAATCCTGAGAGCCTCAGAGGAAACCTTTAGGGTGTTACTTTTTGGCCCCCAGGCCTAGTTTTTTCTTTTATTGGTCAGAAAAATGTCAATCTGCCTGCCATGCTTTTTGGCAGGGTGTTCCTGGGGCTTTGGCTGGTTAACAGTGAATTTACTTAGCAGTCCTGTCCATGGGCGGGAAGCGTGTGCACATGCCCAAATCACATGTGTTGTTTTGCTTGTGCAGCATGTGGGGAGACCCTGCAGGACACGATGGGGAACTTTTCTGCACCTGGTTTCCCGAACGGCTACCCTTCTTACTCCCACTGTGTATGGAGGATATCGGTCACTCCAGGGGAAAAGGTAGGTATGAAACCACCTCAGGAAATGACTTTGCATTCTTTGAGTTGGGTGAGGCATGAGGAATTAGTGTTATTATTCATAGTAGTAATGGTATCTGTTATGTTTTGTTATGAGCACCTACTATGTGCCAGTTACTGGGCAAACTTGCTGAACGTTCATGATTTCTGGACTTTCCCACCCGCCTCCCCATACAAATAGAGGCCTATGTACTACATGTCCACTGGAGTTCTAAATCAAGCTCACATCTGGTAAAACAAAGTAGGCACTATCCTCCTACCTTGATAAAGACACCATCAGGATGCTCTGGAAGGCAAGGGACCAACTTAGAATTTCTTGACACCTCAGAGTGCTGTGTATCAAAGTGGTACTATAAGGAGAGCTAGCCCCCAACCATGGCTGTCCCCTCCTCCTCTTCCCAGCCCCAGTTCCATCTAGGAGCAACCAGGGCAACCCCCAGCCCACAGTCCCAAGCATTCTCCACACCTACCTTGCAAACAGCTGTTGCTGGGCTCCCATTCTAGTGGAGGTGGACTGGCCGTCTGTGTTGTCCACCTTTGGGAGGATGGATCCAAGGCAGAGATCCTTGCATGCCCTGGATTCCTGTCCTGGATGCAGTTTAGGGTGTATGATCTGGGAAAATCCTGGGTAGGCACATTCCTTTGGTTCTGAAGATTCCACAACCCTCTAAAGTTGAGCCCAGGGCAGGGGTCTCTTTTGTCTTGGGGCAGGGGTGGTATATTCTTAACCCTTCTGCAGGGTTCGTCTTCTTATCTCCATTATATGAACAAAAGATCTGAGTCTCAGATATTTAAACAGTTGCCCCCATCCACTACAAGATATAGAACTGGGAACTGGGGCTTCTGCACCTCGAAGTTTGTTTTTTTCCCCTACATCTCTCTACAAAACCAAAGGTCCTTCAGGTCCTCTCACCCTAGATGCAACTACCTGTGAAATGTCCTCTCTGCCCCTTGGGTCTAGCTTCCTACAGTCATGCCTGTCGTGATTTGTCTCACAGTATCTTGATTGCTGACTTACATGGCTGTTCCCTTTCCAGAACCTAAATTCCTTGAGTACAGACATGGTTCACCCCCAACACTCAATACAGCCCATGGCACAGAGTCACACAAGAAGTATTTGTGGATGTGTAGATAGATGAGTGGTTGAATGGAAAAAATAATAGTTGGGGGTGCAGTGGGGGGTGTTGGATTTTCAGGTACCTGTAGCCATTCTTCAGAATATTCCTAATTCATCACTTCAAAAAAATGTCCACTTAAATGTTAAGTTAAACATATTGTGATAACTACAGAGAAATGATGGCTAGGAACGACTGTGAGCACTTTCTACGGGCTAGGCATTGTTCTCTGCATAGCATGTGGAGTCTCTCATTTAATCCTCACTTTCTGTGACTATTACCACACTCATTTTGCAGGTAAGGAAATGAACTTGCCTAAGGCTACTCAGTTTGTTGTAGAGCTGGGATTTGACCCCAGACAATTTGATTTGGAGAGTCTGGATAGTTAATCATCCTAAATTATTCCACAAAGGGGACAGGCTAGACATTTAAACATGTATTCATACACACAGACTCACATGCACACACACACAAACAGCCACATGCTCACATCCTTCCTTTGGCTCTAGGCATTTATAACAGTGTGGTTGTCATCTTGAACCTAAGAGACTTCAGACCAGTCTGTCTTGAGCAGGTTTGCTGTGCTTGTGCCTGCAGGAGGCTTCCGGGGGAGGGAGGCAGGAAGAAGGAGGAGGAGGAAGAGGAAGGGATGTGGTAATACCTAAACTGTTGAATTGCCTGGAATAGCAGAGGCTATGTGGTATGTGTGAACAGCAAAAGATTCACCAAGCCCTAATTATAAATGCTGACTGGGGCAGGGAGAATATATATGCTGACTGGAGCAGAGAGAATATATCATTGAAATTCCAGCCCCAATTATTTCAACTTTGACTTCATCCAGCCTTCTCCAGAGGTGCTAGTAATCAGCAAACTTGATTGATTTGAGTTTCGCCTCCTGTGCATCAACCTCTTCCCCTGTGGTCTTCATGGTTCACTAATAGACCTAAATAATTAGCCTGAATAATTATCCATTCATTTACATTGTGAACATGTTACTGAGGAAGTTGTAATAACATTTCCGTTCTGCAATTTTACAAAGCAAAGGCTAAAGAATTATATTGCAACCAGTTAGCAAGGATTACCAAGCCCCTCCTTCCTGAATTCCAGCACTGTGAGAGAGATGAAAGAAATCTAAGGTATAACCTCTGTCTTCAAGAGACTTAGAGTTGAGAGTCCTTTCTTCACCCCTAGGAAGTCTCATTTAATTGAAGGAGGGCATTTGCTCAGCACCAGTACTTTTTTTAACTTCTGAAGTGATTCCAATCCACAGGCAGATTGAAAGGAGTAACATCACACACACACACACACACACACACACACACACACTCTACGGCACAGGAGGTGAGCTGGCCGGTTATTTTCCGGTGCTGACTTCATTTCCTAGGAGATTATAGAGCTCTGTTGAAGATGGTGCTCCTTTTCCTGAGACCCGAACTGTGGAGCTGTGGGCACTCTCAAGCTAGGCTATGCAAAGAGCACTTAGCGCACGATGTACACTCAGTGTGGCTTGATTTTTTTAAATCGCCCTTTATCGAGTGTCTGTTATGTCCAGGCATGGCACGATAACTGCCATATACAGTTTCTCATGCAGTCTCGTGAAAAACCCAGTGGTGGGCATGTTGTTTTATAGCTGAGAAAGCTAAAGGTCCAAAGGGAAAGTATTTTCCCAAGATTTCATAGCTGGGAAGATATCCAGACCTTCCTGCCTCTAAAAACACCTGCTCTAGAATCACTCTAAGAGAGGGGAGAGTTCACCTGCTCTAGAGTCACACTGAGAGAGAGGGGAGAGTTCACCTGCTCTAGAATCACCCTAAGAGAGGGAAAAGTTCACCTGCTCTAGAATCACACTGAGAGAGAGGGGAGAGTTCACCTGCTCTAGAATCACTCTGAGAGAGGGAAAAGTTCACCTGCTCTAGAATCACTCTAAGAGAGGGGGAAAGTTCCAAAGAGGGAAAGTCAAGTTTATCTGGGCAATCAGGGAAGGAGCCAGGGAGGAGGGAGGGGCCCCCGATCTGGGTCTGGGAGGGACCCATTAGCACAGCTACATCAGGGTGCACCTGGAAACAAGGTCAGGCAGGCTGGGCGCTGGGGGCTCTGAAAAGTAAGGCAAGTTTAGCTTATGAGACAGGTGTATAGGGAGCCACTGAAGTTTTCTGAGCACAGGAGGGATCCGGTAAGCATGAGCTGTACGTGCAGGATTGATCCAGAAGACCTGGTGTGCAGAATGGGATGGGGGTGCAGCAGGCCTGGTGAAGAGGAGCGAGACTGGCTCATAGCAGGGACTCCGACATCTCAAAGGAAGGAAGTCCATCAGTGCTGGCATAAACAATGGAGGCCAAGGGGAACTAACCCCGAGCTAGAGCACCTTAGTGACTGGGGTGGGGGTGTCCCCTACAGACAGGGAAGCTAGAAGGACAATGTTTTTCTTTCAAGGTGCCCTCAAGGTAATGGCATCACCGATTCAGTGGATATGAGTTTGAGCAAACTCTGGGAGATGGTGAGGGACAGGGAAGCATGGTGTGCTGCAGTCCATGGGGTCGCGAAGAGTCAGACACAACTTGGCGACTGAACAACACAGTTAATGGGCACCCAGCAGAGGAGAGAGAACAGTGGGCAGAGCACGGGCCGCTGTGGCAAAAACCAGAGAGGAGAGATTCCAAGCAGAGAGGCCAGAGAATGAGGACAAGACCCAAGTCCTTTGCATGTGACCAGGAGAGCACTGCAAAGCCTCCAAGGTTTACTTAGAGATGTAAGACCCGGGGCTATAAGAACAGAAAAGAAAGTGGTCAGTGGAGGCAGGAGAGTGAAGATGCTAGAAAAAGATGAACGGACGGTGAGCAAACCCCCACGGCCCCGGGTGGGAAAACGTCAGGGGTGCAGGGGCTGGGGCATTGCCCTTATGCAGGACCCTGGAGAGAAGAGCTGAGAGGTGACAGGTGAGGACACGCCAAGCACAGACAAGGAGCCCACCAGAGAGCTGCAGCCAGACAGTCCTGGGCACGTGTGTGGTGGGCTCCAAGCGGGGGTGAGGGGAGAGGGCAAGCCTGACCTCGGTCTGGGCTGGGCTGGAAGGGGCGCAGGGCCCATGTGCTGAGCCTACAGGGCCACCCAGCCCCTTCCATCACTTGTGGACTAAGGCACCGACTGAATGGCCTCAGAGGGTCTCAGGGTTGTCCAAAGGAACTGAAGCCTCCTTCCCAGTCCCTCGGAACCCACCTCCCTCCTCACCTCTCCTGCCTCCTCACTCCAGACATGCACACAGTGACCTCTACCGAACGCTCAGCAAAGTTCCCCAAGTTTCTCCTTGGTCTGCCCTCACACCAAAATTCTGTCTGGCCCTCCTCTACCCCTGCATCCCTGTTCCCCTTAGGTTAAATGCCACCCCCTCCAAGAAACCTTCTCCTTGTCCCTGGGGCAGAATCTAGTTCTCCTTCCTCGAGGCTCCAGAATGCCTTTCTGTCCATCCCTGTCTTTTCAGCATTTCTTCCATAGTGTTTTCATTGATTTAGCATGTCTGTCCTCCTCTCCTTCTCTGAGCTTCTTACAGGCAAGAAATCTATCTCACTGACTTTTCTATCTTGATTGGCCAACACAGACTGGCACACAGTAGGTGGTCAACTAACAATGGTGAAATGAGTGAATGAATGAACGAAACTGTTGGAAGGTTATTAACACACCACACCTCAGAAGAGTGAGGTCACGACCAGGGGAACATTGATCACAGAGATTCTCGGATGCACTCAGGCTCACCCCGGGCCCTTTAGAATGATTGATGATGTTTTAAGATCTTTTCGTATCTCTAAACTTCACTGACCCCTTACCTCCTCCCAAATCCCCAGTCTCAACGCATCCTGGCCTGTGTTTTTAATGCGTCTTGCTTTCTGTAAACCACTAAGTGACTTCAAAAGCTCAAGTTATTCCCCAGACAGAACCATAGAACCCATCTCCTCTGTTTACTCCTCATCCTGTTTAAGGTTTATTATTTAATGTCATGAGGTTTCCTGTGAATGCATTTTTGAGAGGACACTCCTACTGTGGTCTGAGAGCTCTGTATGCTAAAGGGTAATGTGAGAACACTGCTATGCAAGATGTATCTTCAAAACTCCTCAGACTTGGCTGCCAAAACTCACTTTACGGTAACTCTTTACAGATCGTCTTAAACTTCACATCCATGGATTTGTTTAAAAGCCGCCTGTGCTGGTATGACTACGTGGAGGTCCGGGATGGTTACTGGAGAAAAGCCCCCCTGTTGGGTGAGTTGACTTCAGAGAGCCTTAAGAGGGGTGCGCTTAGATGCTCTCTGCGATGCTCTTAAATGTTTGGAAGGGGCCATCCACCAGTCACAGGAAGCTCTCACGGGTTGGTGTCGTTGTAAAACTCTGAACACTCCATTTGGCCGCACATGTTAAAAGCTTTTAAAACTGTGAATACTCTTTGACCCAGCCGTTCCACTTCTTGGAATTTATCCTAGGGAACTAATTAAGGAAGTGTGCAAAGCTCTCGCTACAGGGACATTCACTGAAGCAGGAAACATTGAAAACAATTTAAATATTCAACAGTAGGGGTTAGATGAATAAATTATAATACATCTTTTCCATAGAAAACTATCCAGCCATTAAAAACAAAGTTGGACTATTTATTGATAGAGAAAGATGTTTGTTGTATGTTGCTATGCAAAAGGTGTTGCAAAATGGATATGCAGTAAGATTCTGTTTTAACAAAAACATATATATTATGAAGCACTGAAAAATCAGATGCCTTCAGGGCTGCTTTCCATAGTGTCACACAGAGTTGGACACCACTGAAGCAACTTAGCATGCATGTATGCATTGGAGAAGGAAATGGCAACCCACTCCAGTATTCTTGCCTGGAGAATCCCAGGGACAGAGGAGCCTGGTGGGCTGCCATCTATGGGGTCGCACAGAGTCGGACACGACTGAAGTGACTTAGCAGCAGCAGCAGCAGCAGGGATAAGGTTTAAATGAGAGAGATGGCATTGGTATAATAAAGTAAGGAGTGGTGGGGAGTGTGGCAAACAACAGTAAATATCCTGACTCGAGTTACCCAAAGCAAAATTACTTAAAACAATCATGCAGGCTGGATTCAACTGGAAGGAACCATTTTGTGACCTACAATATAAACATTAAGTAAAGTTAGAAATATAAATAAATAACAGTGGTTATTTCAGGATGATGGATATAAAATTTATTCTCTTGTTCCTGGTTTATCTAATTCATCTCTGATAAAAATGTATTCTTTTGTGAAGATGAACAATACATGAACTCAACAGTACATGAACTCATGAAAAGGCGGGTGGGCCTTTGAGGGAGAGGCAGTGGGCAGGTGGCATAAAGAGAAAGGTCAGTTCACTCAGGATTGATCACCAGAAGAGAGATCTCTAAGGGTGACCAAGGAAAGTTAAGGTCATATAGAGGCCTGATGGCATCGGTGTCAGGACAATGGACATGGGGACTTGTTTGGCCCAGGAATGTCAACCATGGTGGAACCAGAAAGAGGAGCAGAGCCTAAGGATTCAGTTGGGAGGGTCTCCGCCGAGAGTGGGTTGTTTACAGACAGCTGTTCAGGGTGGGCTTCTGAGGTGGACCACTCTTAAGTTCTCTGTGCAAACTTTGTCCCCAGCAGATCTTCACGTGGGCAAAAAGCCATACTTGTGATGCTTCCAGTGACTGGGCCGGGTATGACAGCTGACTAAAGATGGAAGCAGGAAAGAGTGGAGAACGCTAAGGTGGGGAGTTTCCCTGCCAGACCAAGCCCAACTTCATGTCAGATTCCGGAATAGCTCAGGAGAGACAGGGATGGAAGGTCTGGCTGGACCCAGGGAGCCTGGCAGATACTAAGCTTCCATATGGCCAAAGGGTCTCAGCCAGGTCAGCTACTGCTGGGAAGGGCACACAAGTCCTCTCAGTCCAGAGGGCCATGAGCTTAACTTCCTAGAGGTGCAAATAGGTAGGAATTTGTATCCTCTGGGGTGGGAACATAGCCAGAGCCGGCTTTGAGTGGAGGGTGCCAAGTTATCACTGGTAGGGGGTCAGTCAGGTAGTCGGTGGTCCAGGAAGGCAAGGCAAGAAACTGATTCCCAGGCCAGGCACAGACAGACAGGAGTGTGTGCACTTCGGGACAGATGGGTTATGCCACCCGATGGCAGGGTGGAGGCTCTCTGCCCTGGGTTTCTGCTTCCTGTCCAACGTGAGCAGACGCAGTGTGTATGGGGAGGCGTGGCTTTGTAGGTAGCACCAATTGGGTGTAACAAAATAAAAACAGAGGGCTGCTCTCCTGGCCGCAGAGGTTCCAAAACCTGGCTGCACCCCAGCATCAGTGGGGAAGATTTCTATGAGATTCCTGGGAAACTGTTGAATCAGGATCTCCATGTGGTGGGTCAGGGAATGATCCCACTTACCGATAAATATTTGTGCATGTGTACTTGTCTAGTACCAAATACACAGAAATGGGGCTGCAAGGGCTCTCAGCAAACTCAAGAAGGTGGTTACCTCAGAGAAAGGAAGAATGGGGAGTGGGCAACCTCCTGGTTTGGTTTGTGTACTTCTGGATTATTTGGCTTTTTGGTAAGAATGCATCCAAATATTTCATAGTTGAATTTAAAAAAAAAAACAAAACACTGTGTGGGAGGAGTTTCTTGAGAACGTGGAATCGTCTGGACCTTTGGAGTCACTTCATCACACACCTTCATGAGAAACTCACACTCCCCAAGAGCAGGCGGACTCACCAGGGCCACACAGCCTGCTAGTGGCTTGAGATCAGTTCAGAACTTAGAAGTCCCGCTGATGGGGTGAGGGGACTGTGAATCTAGAAGGGACTCCCCATAGGACTGCCAGATAAAAATGCATGATTCGTTGTTTATCTGAAATTTAAATTGAACTGGGCTTCCTGTATTTTTGTTTGCTAAATCTGGCACCCCATACCCCCTAGGGAACGTGATAGACTTGAAAAGCTCAGGAGGGGGGACGTTCTCTATTCCTAAAGTTCCCTGGAGAGGGCCAAGGCACGCTCCTGAAAATGGGCACAGACAGAGGGATTTCCAGCCACCCCTTGAACTTGAAACAAGAATTTTCTCACTACAGATCCTGGGAACTCTGACCACACATTCATTGATTCGATGGGGCTTTTGCTGTTCATCATTGTCAGTGATGGTTTTTGTGTGTGGGTTTTTTGTTTTGCTCAGATTTTACACTTTTGCAGTGAGTGTGTGTAGGTATTTGTGTGTGTATGTCTGTGTGTGTGTGTGCCAAGTGTGCTTCAGCCAAGGCATGGCCCAGCGCCTGTAACCGTCATTCTTCATTTGCAGGAGTTCTCCTTTGCCAACTATTTGGCCTGCTCTGATGTTTCCAAATGCAGTTGTTAGTGAACTTTTGTGTTTGGAACAAGTGCATTGTGTGGGCCGAGCTGGTCCCTGGGAGGGGTCAGTGCCATGAAATCTGCCGGGAGGAGGCAGGTCAATGCCCCTTTGGCAGGAGGGAGAGCGGATTAGAGCGGATTGTGAAAGTATGCATCTTGCTCTGAAAAACTGTGCATTGCATATTTTCCCAGGGCAGTGTGTGAAACTCCAGGCATAATGGACGCATAACTTTTTATGAATGAACCCTTTATGACTCCCCATGGAGTCCTCTTGTAGTGTCCTCATCTGCATTTCCTCTTCTTGATATCCTTATTAAACTCCTCCTCCAAAGGCGGGAACCAGAGTTCAGTTTAGGAATTTGACACTTTTTCTCTCATCCAATTTCTCTCCAGCCTGTTAGTCTCCCTGGGAGGAGGCTGTTTGGGACCCAGCTTTTCACATCCTGATTAAAGGGAAATGTAAGTAGATTGAGAACATTTCACGCCTGCTTAAAGGTAGCAGATTCATTTTTTTCAGTTTCGAGGGTCACTGATGAGTTTGCACCTAGAGAGGGGAGAAAGGTGGCTGCACAGAACTCATCCAGTAACCTGAAATGCTGGCCTATTAATTGGATTCTCCTCCCTTCTTTCTGCTAGAGGAATTACTCTAACAATGCACTTTTGTATGCAGAACCATCCTTGGGCATTCTGTACCACCACAATGCGCACAAAAGCCTTTTTCCCCACTTTCCCTGAAGTGGGGAGGGAAGTTCAGAAAGGCCAGGCCGGCCAATCAGTGTCGCGTGGCCCCACTACTGGGGGCTTCCTGGGCTGGGGCAGCGTCCCAAATGAGCACAACCCATACCATGAGGCAAATTGGCATGCCTGGCATTGCCACAGGCTTGCTCTATGGTTTGAGTCTTTGATCATCATTCCAATGTGTCTGTTTCCAAACTGGGAAATGGGAATAGTGATTACATTCCCAGAGAACAGATTTGATGTCTATTGATCCAAAAATGTACAGGATTTAGAACCAAGTCCTAAACAGAGATGTTCCTTTGGATGGTGGGTGGCAGTAATGGTGAGCATGATGAAGAGGGTTAGACTGGGGATGAAGGTCAAGATCTCAGGCTGCTAAGGTTCAAATCCTGCTGCACTTACAATCTCGAATGTGTCCCAATGTGCTCAGTCGCTCAGTCGTGTCTGACTCTTTGTGACCCCATGAACTGCAGCCTGCAGGGTCCTCTGTCCATGTAATTTTCCAGGCAAGAATACTGGAGTGGGTTGCCATTTCCTACTCCAGGGTTACAACCTTGAGTATAACTTAAATTGAGTATGGTAGTAGTGGTTTAGTTGCTAAGTCATGTCTGACTCTTGTGACCCCATGGACTGTAGCCTCCCAGGCTCCCCTGTCCATGGGATTCTCCAGGCAAGAATACTAGAGTGGGTTGCCATTTCCTCCTCCATAATTGAGTATAATTCAACTCAAATTCTCCAAGGCTCAGTTTTTTCAGAAACGAGATTAATAATAGCACCTACTTCAAAAGGTAGTAGGGAGACAGTTAATCTATATAAAGTGCATAGGACAGTGTCTGGTATAGACTAGCTCAATTTAAAAGGGAACTTTTGTTAGAACCATTACTATGATGGTAAAAGTCTGGTGACATCAGTCTAGGGAGAGTGTAGGAGGTTCAGGTTAAGAATTGCAAGGTGATTTGGGGAGATTTTGCTTAGAAATAATTTGTGATTTATTCTGCCAAGCCTAGCTCTGCCACGGCAATAAAGGGGCTTCCCTGGTGGCTCAGACAGTAAAGAATCTGCAATGCAGGAGACTTGGGTTCAGTTTGGGAAGATCCCCTGGAGGGTCTTGCCTGGAGAATCCCATGGACAGAGGAGCCTGGCGGGCTGCAGTCCATGGAGTTGCGAAGCGCCGGACATGACTGAGTGACTGAGCACACGAGCACAAGGCAGTGAAATCCAGCTAAGCCTGTAATTCCTACCTCCTCCCAGATAGTGGAGCAGAGGCAGGTTGTCCTGTGGCCCCAGGGTGGGTGCTTCAATCTCATCTGGTTGGGTTCTTAGGCAACAAGGCGGTGGAAGTCCCTCTCTCTTTTGGAAACATCCCTAGCAGCTGTGACAGCTGGGATTTTAAAAGGAGGAATTTGGACTTGAAACTGGGTTTGGCTGAGAAACTGTTCTTTTTGTGAACCAGCATTCAGCGGCTCTGTCTCCTCACTGGTGAGAAATACCTCCCCAGGTTTACATGTTGTTTTCCAAAAACTAATTGATACTAACTGGTGATGCTGAAGGAGCCATTACTGGAAGTGTAGAAGCATCTGATGGATTTTTCCCTGCTCAATTCTCAACAACAGTTTCAGCTCATCTTATTAAGCTCCCCAGATCCGAAAGGCTGCAGGGAGCCAGAATTGGAAGGTTAGGAGCCTTCCAAGACACTTGCTCCTTGGAAGAAAAGCTATGACCAACTTAGATAGCATATTAAAAAGCAGAGACATTACTTTGCCAACAAAGGTCCGTCTAGTCAAGGCTATGGTTTTTCCAGTGGTCATGTATGGATGTGAGAGTTGGACTATAAAGAAAGCTGAGCACTGAAGAATTGATGCTTTTGAACTGTGGTGTTGGAGAAGACTCTTGAAAGTCCCTTGGACTGCAAGGAGATACAACCAGTCAATCCTAAAGGAAATCAGTCCTGAATATTCATTGGAAGGACTGATGCTGAAACTCCAATACTTTGGGCACCTGTTGTGAAGAACTGACTCATTGGAAACGACCCCAATTCTGGGAAAGATTGAAGGCAGGAGGAGAAGGTGACAACAGAGGATGAGATGGTTGGATGGCATCACTGACTCGATGGACATGAGTTTGAGCAAGCTCCAGGAGTTGGTGATGGACAGGGAAGCCTGTTGTGCTGCAGTCCGTGGGTTCGCAGTCAGACGCAGCTGAGCGACTGATCTGAGCTGAACTAGGAGCCTCTACCCTCTGTGTCACCCCTAAAGAATGTTGACCCCCGTTGGCCAATAGCAAGTATCTTTTATTATATAGTGGCTTTTATTCCTCCCTGTCTCACTCCCACATTTCTCAGAAGGGCAATAAGAGGATACCCATTAAATACCTGTCAAATGAACTTTAAAATGGTTTTTGGAGATGAAATTCACACACCATACAACTCTGCATTTAAAGCATGCATGTCAGCAGTGTTAGCATGCTCACAGATTTGTACAGCCATCACCACAGATTTAGAACATCTTCATCAGCCCTCAAAGAAGACCCATACCCATTCACAGTCATTCCCCCACAATGTTAAATGGATTTTTGAGTGATTCATACTGTTAGCACTTGGCAAAACCATGCGCTTTCCATCCAAATAGACCTTGACTAGTCTGTGTTGTGAGCTGATCAGTGTGACTTAGCTCACCTCCCACCCCACCCCCATCCCTATTCTTGCTGTGCTACTATCCTTATATGGCATTGGAAGTGATAATAGTCAAAGAGGACCATGCTCTGGGAAGACCTGACCATCCCCCTTTTCCTCTATAAAAGGTCCAAATTTCATAGAATGTATTCAACAGCTTAAAAAATACACATTTTGGAGAAGGAAATGGCAACCTACTCCAGTATTCTTGCCTGGAAAAGTCCATGGACAGAGGAGCCTTGTGGGCTGAAGTCCATGGGATTACATAACTGAGCATGTGTGCACGAGGGTGGAGGGAGATGGGTTGGTAGCAATAAAGTGGTAGAACTAAAAAAAAAACAAAAACACATTTATTTGTATTTTCAATAACGCAAGTTCAATAACAATTAGGAACCCCTTTGCATCAGATAGTGGGAACTTAATTGAAGTCAGTTTGTGTTCCTCCTCCCCAGAGTACCAGTAGGGGGCACACTTTGTGCCAGGGCCTGGTGTCCCGGGGCATCTGCCTTGCTATCCCAACTGGCATTCCTGGTTCGGCCTCATCCCCCTCTGGTCCTCTGGCATCTAAGTGGCTGTTGTGCCTTATCCTGTCTCAACTTCTCCAGGCCTATGTAGATCAGTGCCAAGTCCACATCTCCCTAGAAGACGTTCTAGGGAGACATTCAATGGCTGTCCAGGCCCTCTGGGCCATGGGAAAGTCCCTTCTATCCCCTTCCCAGGAGTCCTGTTGCTGCCATCCTGTCCTGCTTTTCCTGAAGAGCTCTGCCTGCCTGTCTCCTGCCCTAATGTCTTAAGAAACCATATAGACACTCCTGTTCTGAGCCCAGGTGGGACATGGGGGATCCAGGGTCTTGTTGCACCTCAAGGCTCTGCCAGGAACTTACCCCAGGGGCATAGCTCTCTGCTTCTCCCAACTCCTTAAACCTCCCTGGGGCATCTATCATCCTTGTCCACCTGGGGCACCAAGTCTTTCCAGAGGTCCCATGATGCCCTCTCCAATTTTCTGTCCACCTAGTCCCCTTGCTCCTCTATCCCAGGAATCTTTCTAAGACAACAAGGGGAAGGGAATGTGCTCTTTTTCACTGTATACTTTCCTAAATTTTTGGTGTTGTGACCAGACTTGTGGAATTCAAAAGCCAAGAAGATCTGATCACATCACCTTGTGTCCTCTGGCAACCCTTCCTGGGGTAAGGAAGGTATAAAGCATGCTCCTCAAATAGAAGGCTATGTATGTAGTAGAAATGCCAGGGGGGACCCTCATCACTCGCTCAGACCACCACCCCACCCCTGGCCTTGCTGAGACGTCCTCCTCCCCCTCAGCACTCATCACGACCCCCTGGCAGGGGAGGGGCCACATTCTGGGTGTTCGGTTGATTGGCATCTGAGACTCCAGAAGGAGGCACACCGGTGGTCACTGGTTCCGTTCCAGCTTTTCATCCTTCAGTGATACAGGATGAGTCAGTCACCCGGTGAGGACCGCTCCCCTTGAACCTCATCTGAAGCAGCACTGCCTGCTCTCTCTCTCTTTCTGCTTGTGCTGAGCCCCCTCCTTGCTGTCTGCCAGCAGCCTGACAGTTCTTTTCCCTTTCCCAGGTAGGTTTTGTGGCGACAAAGTCCCAGAGCCCCTCATCTCCACAGACAGCCGGCTCTGGGTGGAATTCCGAAGCAGCAGCAACATCCTGGGCAAGGGCTTCTTCGCGGTATATGAAGGTTTGTTCAGGAGGGGAGAGGCCGCCGGTATGGCTCCTGACGTGCCTCTGTCCTTCCCACGCAGCCTGTGTCCCTTCCCACCCTGGCCCGGGCAGCAGCTGCCGGTGTCATGAGGGTGGGGTAGCTGCCATCCCCTTCCCCCATGTCTGAAAGCAGAGAGGCCAGCTGAGCTCCCTTCAGCACAGGCTACCTGTCACTACCCTGCTCGACCCCATTAGAGTCCAGCGGGGACGGTGTTGGGGGCTTAGAGAACCCTGGGGAAATGCAAGCCACCTCTGAGTAGCTGTGTGAGGCTGAGCAAAGAACCCAGCCTCTCTGAGTTTCATCTGTGAAACGAGGACTTTGGATAACGTCCAGGAATTTCCAACTGATTTCTTGGAAGGGTGGTGGTTGAGGAAACCAAGAGGTCTGGGCTCTAGGCAGCTGCCACCAGGGCAATTCTGCTTCTGTCTATTCTGCATATTGGGTCTCTCTGGCTAAATAACCCTGTGCCCTCCCTCCCCCAGAGGAAAAGTCCCTTAGGGACTTAGATTGTAATTTTGGAGAGGCCCAAGTTTTTGTTTCTTAATATTTATTTATTTGGCTGCACCGGGTCTTAGTTACAGCATGTGGGACATTTTTAGTTGTGGCATGTGGGATCTACTTCCTTGACTAGGGTATCAAACCTGAGCCCCTTGCATTAGGAGCTCAGAGTCTTAGCCACTGGACCACCAAGGAAGTCCCAAGTTTTGTTTTTATAAAGGAAATAGCATGGGTGTGCGTATGTTGTACATATCAGTCTCTACCTGTGGCCCTCCTTCCTCTGCATCAGGGTTACAGGGGGAAGTCAGATGTCGCTGCTGCTGGGACCCCTCCCTCAACACTGCCCCACCCCCCCCATACCCACACACTTGATTGGAACTTCTGAAGGTGTGGCCCCTGTTGCCAGAGCTTGAAAAAATACGCCCGGTGATTGTGATGCCAAGCAAAGGTAGAGAGCCACTGCTCTCCATGGTTATTTTCTTTATATGAGAAAAATTCAGAGTTGCAAACACAGGGAACGATGCCTTTCCAGAGGCATCAGTCCATTGGAAATGAAAATGATGGCAAGTGGAGCCACCTAGCGGTGTACTTCCTTGGTAGCTCTGACGGGGGACCCCTTTCCTCCTGGCTCTTTTTCTAAAGCTACCTGTGGGGGAGACATTAACAAAGATGCTGGTCAGATTCAATCTCCTAACTACCCGGATGATTACAGACCTTCCAAGGAATGTGTTTGGAGGATTACCGTTTCGGAGGGGTATCACGTGGGGCTTACCTTCCAAGCTTTTGAGGTGAGTACTGCTGGTCTCAGACACTGCTCTATACAGATGAGTTTCCAGTTTGGGATTGAAGACAGGAACCCAAGAGGTTATTTCAAGTCCAAAGCACATTTTGCCAGGACATCTGGTATCAAAACCTCTGCAGGTTTTGAAATTGCATCTGCCTTCTTTCTGAAGGCTGCTGGAAAGGGTGGGGGAATCATTGAAGCAAAAGTCTAGAATGGGATCCCAAGGCGTTTTATTGACTCTTTCTTCCCAGTTTATCATGACTTAATGTCTTTGCAACTTGGTTCGTCCTTGCCTTGCAAGTAGGAGACAGCTTGGAAAAGTTCCAGAACACACTTGGGCCTCCTGGTTAGGTTTTTGAGAGTGATATTTAGTTTCCTTTCTTAGATTGAAAACCTTTAGGCCGAGCTGCCATCTTCCACGTTGCCTCTGTTTCTCCATTTAGATTGAAAGGCATGACAGCTGTGCATATGACTACCTGGAAGTCCGTGACGGCTTCACAGAAGACAGCACCCTGATTGGCCACTTCTGTGGCTATGAGAAGCCAGACGATGTGAAGTCCAGCTCCAATAGAATGTGGATGAAGTTCGTGTCCGACGGCTCTATCAATAAAGCTGGCTTTGCAGCCAATTTTTTCAAGGGTATGAATTAGCAGTTGTTTCCATTTTAGACACAGGAAGAGGTATTGCCCCCCAGTCTAAGAATCACTACACCCACAGACCTTAGCACCAAACAAGGCTCCCTGCAGTGGGGAGGCAGCGATCCGTTTATGCAAAGAGCTGTGCATAGATTCCCCAATAGAGAGAGTTCTCCACTGACTCAGGAACAGGCTTAGTCTTGGCTTCTGTCTTTGATGGCAGAAAGTTTTGCTGCTGTGCTTGGAAATTAGGTTTATCGGTTTACAAGGTCAGCTTCATGAACCTTAGTGAAACTGAGCGTTGATAACAATTTTTGCCAGTCACTATCATTAATTGAGCACCTATTGTGTCAGGAACCACGCAAGGTACTTGATTTACACTGTGTCACTTAATGCCCTCGATCAAGGTCGAAAAAGGCAGGCTCAGGGTTGCTCAGATAGTTAAGCGGCAGACCAAGAATCCAGTCACAGTCTGACTCCTAAACAAACTCTCTCCAGAACACTGCCTTGCATTCCCTGATATGGGGTAGAGAGGCAGCCCAGGTCTTTAGCTCCTGAAGCATCAGCTCCCAGCCTGCAAGTCTACACTCAAGTGGGCAGAGCTTGTGGGGGAGACTGAGAAGGTTTGGTGCTCAGGAAACGAATATCCGTGCTGCATTAGGGACTGATGCTCTCCAAGTTATTGATAAAATCAGGCCCAGAGTGGCATGGGAAGACCATCATTCCTGGCCCCAGCGGAGCAGCTTCCTAAGACTCTTTTGAATGGACAGGTCTGCCTTCTCCACTCTCAGCGCCCTGGAATTCCTCAGACCACTTGCTAAGAAGGAATATAAGATATTCCGCAGTGCCTTTGGGTTGGGCACCCACCAGCACACCAGCAGCCACTGAATGGATATATCCAGTCTATAACTGGGGTGACCGATCAGTAACTCCTTCCCTCTTCCCTCCTTTCCCGGGCTTCTGGCTGCGTTGACCCAGAAATCCTGGTCCCTTCCTTACTGTGTCTCCCCATCTGCCCCCTTTCTATCCCCTTCTCCCAGGTTTTAGGTGAGCAAATGGTGTCAGAAGGGCCCATGTCCAGGTGTGTGACCTGAGCCGGCATCCCTTTGTCCTTACTGAGGCCTCAGTGTTCTTCTCGGTAAAACAAGGAGAAGGAAATCTGCCCATTTTCCCCAACCAGCTGTGAAGCCCCAGTGAACTAATGGCTGTGGAGACACTTCATAAGCTGAAAAGTGCCACACGAGCGTGTGAGAATGTTATTTTTTCATGCTTTGAGGCGTCTGACGACAGCAAACCAAAACAGAGCAAAAAGCATAGCATTCTGAATTACTGGAGACAAAGTTAAATACATTCCCAAGCAAAAACAAAGCAAAAAACACATAAAAAACAAGCCATAGCACGTGTATTGCAAATGCAGTTAGGTTAGTGATCATAGTGGAAAGAAGAATGTGGGGGTCTTAGTAGAGATCTCAGGAAAGTCACAGCCCCCGCCCCACCCTAGCCCAGACTGCACGTGCTATCTCCCAGCCTGGGGACACCCCCATCTGACTTAGCAGCTACAGTGGCTGGGTGGTCTTCAGCAAGTTACAAATCCTCTCTGAGTCCCAGTCTCTCCACTTATAGAAATGATACTACTAGTTTATCTCAGAGTTATTGTCAGGAAAAAATGAAACGGCATTAAGTGAGTAGACATGGTATCCTGTTTAGTCCTGTTAATTGTCTTTGCTAAGGAAGGGATCTCTGATGTGACAGTTTCTTCTTGCTGTCAGGGTTTTTTTTTTTTTTTTTCATGTATCAGTTTTTTATCGATGCTCTAACAAATCACCACAAATGTGATCACCTTACAGTTCTCAAGGTCAGACTTCCTTGCCTTTTCCAGCTTCTGGGAGGAGGCGCCTGCACTTCTTGACTGGTGGTGCTTTTTGGTCTTCAAGCCAGCAAGGGTGGCTGAGACCGTCTCAGGCTGCATCATCGACCTCCATCTCCATCATTGTTTCCTTTTCTGACTCTGATTCTCCCCCTGCTACTTTCAGTTGGAAGGACTCTTGTAGTTACTGTGGGCCCACCAAGCTGATCCAGCGTAATCTCCCATTTCAAGAACCTGAATCTAATCACATATGCAAAGTCCTTTTTGCCATGTAAGGGTAAGGTGACAGATTCTAGGTTCCAGGACTGTGATATGAATGACTTTGGGAGACCTCATTTTAGTTAACCTGTCACCCATAATCATGAGGTTTTATTCTAATTCTCTTTGTCCTAATTCTCCTGTCCTTCTTCTTCCCTGATTTCCACCCCCATGTCTTAGGTGTTGGGACTTCTTTGCAGTAAGATAACCGATAACCAGTTGGCACTGGTCCACCCACATCTCATTCTTGGTTCTACTGATGATCAGCATTATAATTTTGAGAGGACCAGCTAAAATCGAAGGGTTTCCAAATTGAACAAGTTAAAATAGTGTGCCTAGTTAAATTCAAAATTCCGATAAGAATGATCTTTTTAGTGTGTGTCCCAAATATTGCATACTGTACTAAGAAATAATTGTTCATCTGAAATTCAACTTTAACTGAACCTTCTGCTTTTTTTTGTGGCAGCCCTAGTGGAGATGACTGGAGAAGGCAATGGCACCCCACTCCAGTACTCTTGCCTGGAAAATCCCATGGATGGAGGAGCCTGGTAGGCTGTAGTCCATGGGGTCGCTAAGAGTCGGACACGACTGAGCGACTTCACTTTCACTTTTCACTTTCATGCATTGGGGAAGGAAATGGCAACCCACTCCAGTGTTCTTGCCTGGAGAATCCCAGGGACGGCGGAGCCTGGTGGGCTGCCATCTATGGGGTCGCAAGGAGACGGACACGACTGAAGCGACTTAGCAGCAGCAGCAGCAGCAGCAGTGGAGATGACAGGCATTGCAATGGGGGTGGTGGGAGGGTCCTCTCTGTGATGCTAAGCCGGTTTGTAAGGGACCGAGTCGAGAACCTTGACCTGCTCTGACCAGCTGTGATAACTGGCTCTGTTTTGCTGGTTAGAAAATGCCATCTTCTCCCCACTCCACATTTAACATTTGTTCAGCAGTCATCACACTGTGTGTCAGGGGCTGTGGGACAGAGGAGAACATGGTCATTGTATTCAAGAACTCAAGCTGACCAAGGGGACCTGTGAGCCAGTGGGCAGTGATGTTGTGTGAAGGAGGAGGGTCTCACTCAGTGTGGGGGTCGGGTGAGTGAGTACCCAGACGAGCTACTTCAAAGACATTTCAGTTGGCAGACGTCCTTTTAAATGCCCATCAAGGTGTTGAGGCCCATGTACACTAACTTAGTGCACAGTTAAGACATCTTTTTAGAGCTCGTTTTTATGTCAAGAAGGGACGCAGAGAACCACGTTTAGAAAAGGAGAACTATACAGCACTGACCTTGACCCTGAGTCTTCAATGAGGAGCCAGGTCTGGTGGAAGCCTCTTTGGGACCTTAGAAAGAAAAGACATTTATTGAGTGCCAGAAGCTGCATTAGTTACTTCACTTTGTCTTCGGAAAAACTGCTTGCTTGGTGTTATTACCCCAATTTTAAAACAGAAGAAACTGAAGCTCTAAGGAGGCTGAGCTAGAACTAGACCCCAGACGTGTAGGATTTCACAGCTCACTATTTTTCCTCTACAGAGACCTGAAAGCCACAGGAAAGTAAAGTGAAGGGATTTGAATTTTTCATTTGATTCTGATACTCGTCACCTTTCTGCCTTCTCTACACGTGGGAGTATATGGAAAAAGGCCCTGGCTTCAGCCTCGGCAGTGTGGGGTCTAGTCCTGCCCACACCCCTTCCCCGCTCCCCGCTCTCAGGCAGGTCAGTTTTCCTTTCTGAGACTCAATCCTGCCTGCTTTGTCCTCCACCGTATTCCTAGTGCCAGACCCACAGTGAGTTCAATAAATACTTATGGGGCAAAGGATGAATGAATACGGCTCAGATTCTCACTTGTGGATTGGGCTTCTTGCTCCCTGCTCTGCCTACCTTTCAGGGTTCCCACGAGGATGAATGGAGCCAGAGAACACAGTGCAGAGCAGTGCTTTCCAACAGAAATAGGAGGCGAGCCACAAACACAAGCCATGGATGTAACTTTAAACTTTCTAGCAGCTACCTTACAAAACACATAGAAAAAGAGGAGGAAAGAAAGAGGCAAAATTAGTTTTAATACCATGTTTTCTTTAACCCAACGTATCAAAAATACTATCATGTTAGTATGTAATCAATATACATAGTATTTTTTAAAGTTTTAAAACTTTTAAAATGTTTTTATTTATTTATTTTCGGCTGCACGGGGTCTCTGTTGCTCAACACAGGCTTTTTTTCCAGTGGCGACGACTGAGAGCTCCTCTCCAGTGGCGGTGCACAAGCTTCTCAGTGCAGTGGCTTCTCTTGTTTCGGAGCACAGGCTCTAGGTACATGGGCTCAGTAGTTGTGGTGCACAGGCTTAGTTGCCCCGTGGCATGTGGAATCATCCCAGACCAGGGATCAAACTCTTGTCCAGTGCATTGGCAGGCAGCTCTTAACCACTGGACTGGACCACTGGGGAAGATCCAATATACAAATATTGGGAGAGATTTTATGGCTTTTTTCCCCACACTAAGTGGACATCTAGCGTGTCTTACCCTCACAGCAGGTCAGGTTAGTAGAGGTCTGGACACAGCCAGCTCCTTTGCCAGCCTTTTTCCTACAAGGCCATCAGTAGGATGTCCTGTGAGCACACAGGGGCCAGGAATTCTCACGTGTGTCAGAACTCCAGTAAAAGAAACTAGAAGAGCAACTACAGAGGCCACGCAGAGGAGTTGGACCAGCCACCGAAGCTCTGGCCTTGGTGCCAGTTGGCAGGAATCTCTGCCCAGGGCCCAGCTGGCACATGGCTCTGCCCGGGGTGCCAGCTGGCCTCTGCAGCCCTCCCCTGGTGCCAGATGGCTTTCCCGCTCAGAGCCTGCTGGCAGGGCAGCAGGCAGAGCACCTCACATCCCTGCTTACTTGGGGAGATAGTGAGTGCGTTTGCAGGTTGGCCGGGACAGTTTGGTGATATGTTCCCCACCTCAAGGGTGGGGGGATGTCCCACCTTGATCCCCAGATTCCCCAGTCCCAGTGCTGCGGGCCCACCACGGAGTGTTTGATGTGGGCTGGGGTGGGGGGGCGGCTAGCTTTCTTCAAGCTGCCTTAGAAGCTTAGGGATGTACCCTGCCTTCCCTTTCTTTAATTCTCTCTGAAATAGCTTTGGGATCCTGCCTGAGTCATCTCATTATCTAACCTCAGAATGGTTCCTTCTGTCACTGGTACCGCTTGGAGAAGGCAAAAAAGAGTCAGAATCCTGCTCTGCGGAGCTGGTACCTGGTTCAGCCTCTTCTCCCACCACCCTTCCCTACTCCCCCAAATTTTCCTGGGGTACTGTCTTGACCACTATAGCTCAGAGCAGGCATGAGCCTCTTGACTTCAAGTAAGTGCTACTTCAGTACAGTGGGAGGTGACGCAGAGTACACCCAGGCCCACCCCTTCAAGGGCAGGGCCCTAGTACACTTCCATGCCACCCACCTGAGTTGGAGCAGGGGTGGAAATGGCCAAACATCCCATCACCCTTCTAGTCTTCAGGGGAACTATACTCCCTCTGCTTAAGTACAAACCCAGCCAACCAGCCTCTTGCCCTCCACATGGCTAAGGATGCTAGGAGACTTAACAGTGGTCCTCCTTTCTTGCCTATGACATATGTGTGTCCTTCCATGGCCATATCATATTCTGGCATTGGTCTCCCCCCACCCCGGCCACCCATCTGGGCCCTTTAACTTGTTCTAGGTTGATGGGCTCTTTCCATGGTTCCTTTTTTCCTTCCTCCTATGCCCTCCAGCCAGTTTCTTGACTCTGCTATGCTGCCTTCTTGCCCATCTAATCTTCCTTCATTGGCCCATCCTTGATGTTTTTTCTTCTTTCTATTCTTATCTCTCTTCCTTCCCCAGGCCCACACTACTCTACTCTGCCCTGACTCAGCGATGTCTGGCTACATTATCCTTTTCACTACTCCCATCATTGTGTCTCCACCCACTGAAATTTCAAAAGCAACTCTGCTCTTGTCTAGAGCAATAACTACTGTGTACCTAGAGACTATATGCTGGGTACTTCACAGGCATCATTTTCAATCACCACAACCCTGAAACCAGGTATTATCCTCATTTTAAAGCTGGAAGAAGGCTCAGAGAGGTCAAATCACCCAGTGTATTGAAGGATGATTCACCTGGTGAATCCAACCCGGGTCTGTTTGGCTCATGCTAAAGACTGGACTCTTTCTATTTCTCATTATTAATGCTTCTCATTTTATACTTTTTAGCAAATGTCTAGGAAAGTGCTTTGCCTACTATAAAGTAGTAAATAATTGTAGGATTGTTACTATTTTAGCATACTTAGTACTTATATTTGTTTGTGACTATGGGGCTTCCCTGATAGCTCAAACAATCTGCCTGCAATGCAGGAGACCCTGGTTTGGTTCCTGGGACAGGAAGATCTGCTAGAGGAGGGATAGGACCCTCCAGCCCATCCTGGAGGAGGGATAGGCTATCCACTCCAGTATTCTTGGGCTTCCCTTGTGGCTCAGCTGGTAAAGAATCTTCCTGCAATGCGGGAGACCTGGGTTGGGAAGATCCCCTGGAGAAGGGAAAGGCTATCCACTCCAGTGTTCTCTGCTGGAGAATTCTCTGCTGGGGTCACAAAGAGTCAAACACAACTGAGCCACTTTCACTTCACAAGGACAACTTCAACCCCTTGCCCACAGGGTGTTCCCTAAACCCAGTCCTCCCTACTGACCAACTTATTTGAGCTTTTGTTGAACCCAAGGACACATCACTCTTAGAGCCACCACCTAAATCTGCTTCCCACTATAGGAAATGATGGGGGATTTACAAACTGTCCTTTACCCAGTGATGAGCCACCAGGTTGATGAGTGTTTTGTGCATCATGGATCAGGGAGACTGGAAGGAAGTGAGTTTATTTGAGTTGGATTTTTTGAATTGAAAAAAGGAGAATTGATGATTGAAAGTTTTGCATTTTCTGCAGGACCACTGTGTTAGAAGTTGCCAGGAGTCAGAGTTTTTAACAATTCAAATTTCAAAGAACAAGAAATACTTAAAAACAGTGAGAGTTCTATCTCTGGGTGTTTTCCAGCAGGGTCTGAAAAGCTCTCAACCAGAAATCTTATTAAGTGGATCCGTGCTGAGGTGGCAGGACTGGGAATCTTTTCAAGTTTTTATCAACTTGAAAATGTCCTCATTCCTTTTATTTTATGTATGATGTGAGGTCTTGTGAGATTTTGTGAACTCCATCCTTGCTCTGTTCTTACCTTCCCTGGTATTAGAAAACCAACACTTCTACCCACTCCCCAACCCTTGCTTCTTCCTAGATTGGGCTCGTTGTTGTTTGAAGATCTCTCCGTGTCTCATCGTCCTTTCACTAGACTGCAGCTCTGTTAGGCCACAATCTGCATGCTCTTTAGGGATAAATGTACCACAGATTGATCACAGAAAATAATGCTTGTTTTCCTTTTACGTCTGACACTCTTTCTGGAGACATCCAGTGCCTGAGTTTTTTCTTTCCTCAGTGGTGCAGGGCTGACAGGTTGGGGTGGTTCTCCAATGAGTTCTGTGTTCTCTTTCTGGACAACATCCTGCTTGCTGCTCTTTAATTGCCCCAGACACAGCGGTGAACCCCATCTAACTCCCCCGCTAACTCAGTCTCACTGTGGCCTCTTCCTGCAGTTTCTCCTGGGAGCATCGGCTCACCTAAGAGCCAGTGCTTTCTGTAAACTTGACGATCACCCAGGACACGTCTTCAAATTAGTAATAAAAATTTAACTCATAGCTTTCGGCTCTCTCCCTAGAGAATAATTATATATCTTCATCTAGGAGTGTGTCTCTTTGTCCCTGTGTGTGTGTGTGTGTGTGTGTGTGTGTACACGCGCATGCTCGCACACACATGCATGCATGGTCAGTTGTGTCTAACTATTTGTGACCCCATGGACTGTAGCCCACCAGGCTCCTCTGTCCATGGAATTTTCTAGGCAAGAATACTGGAGTGGTTTGCCGTTTCCTTCTCCAGGGGATCTTCCCGACCCAGGGTTCGAACTCGTTTCTCTTGCATTGGCAGGTGGATTCTTTACCAATGCTCCACCTTGCTCTTGGTCCTTACCCTTTGCTTAATGTCCTGAGAAGTTCCACATTTATGGAGAGAGCCCCAGTTTTATGGCATTGAAGTCAATCATCTTTGGTATGGAAGCTTTGAGATTTATTAAGGTCACAAACGAACACTGCTGATTAAACTCTTCAAAGAGCACAGTTATCCAAGTTATCCAGGCCCGATCATCTCTCAGAGATGTCCTGTTTCCTGCTAACAGGTTACTCTTGTGTGCTGTCAAGACTCACTTGCTGCTGTAGCTGCTGCCAGTTTCTGTGGACGGGGGACTCCTTGCAAGGCGGGCACCAGAAGTTGTTCTTGTTCTTAGAGGGGATCCTGGGATGTGGACCACAATGGGGAACAGACCTGACAGTTGTTTGATGACTTAACCAGTCACCTTCCTCCCCAACAGAGGTGGATGAGTGTTCCTGGCCAGATCACGGTGGGTGTGAGCAGCGCTGCGTGAACACTCTGGGCAGCTACAAGTGCATGTGTGATCCTGGCTACGAGCTGGCCACTGACAAGAAGGCCTGTGAAGGTTAGTATTGGACCTGCCAAACTGGAGTGAGAAGGGATGGGGGACAAATCTTAGGATGGAGATGGGGCAGCTGGTTGGCTGTGAGAAACAATTGTGGGGGATGATTCACCTCCCTCCTGGAGGGAAAAACAATGCAATAAGGCCACAAACGCGAGATGACTTTATCAGACTCCACCCCAGCAACTGAGCAAATGGAATCATGGAATTTCATTTTCTTCTGTGACCATGTGAAACTCACGTGATTATAAAGATGGAAAATGAAAACAAAGAATAACTGTGAGCACTTCGGTGTGACACGACAAATAGCGCATTTCATTCATTTCATTCCAACACGGCCGGCGGTGTTTCCCTTGCCACCTGCATGACTCTGCCTGTTCATGGAAGCCAGGAACATCGCATAGCTTGGTGCAAACATTTCTTAGCCCAAGTCATATGAAGTCCCCAACTATACCCCTGAGAGTTTAGGCACAAACGCCTCGTCGTCTTTTTAAAAAGCAGTAAAGACTTGTCCTCAACTCCATCCCTCCAAAGCCTCAGTTGAAATAGACCAGAAGAAAGGACGTGAATTAATCAGTTCAGATTGTCTATTTTTTGTTTTTGTTGATGTTATTAAAGAACAGCAGGGCTTATTGCTGCTTGGGGGAAATCGCAGTCACTTGGAACTAAAACCAAATGAATCTTGCTTCTTTTCTCCCCGTGCAGTGGCCTGTGGCGGTTTCATTACCAAGCTGAATGGAACCATCACCAGTCCCGGGTGGCCGAAGGAGTACCCTACGAACAAAAACTGTGTCTGGCAAGTGGTGGCCCCCGCCCAGTACCGGATCTCCCTTCAGTTTGAAGTGTTTGAACTGGAAGGCAATGATGTATGTGTCCAGGCTCTGATTGACTGGGGATGCTGTTGGGATATGACCCAGGGCTGGGAACTCAGGAGGGGATCAGCAGGCAGGGAGGTGGCCTCCAAGGGTTGTGGCACTGTAGCTGGGTGGAATCTGGACTGTTTGTTGAGGCGATTTCAACTAAACACCCTCGGGAGATGAAGTGCTCTGGTCCTCTCATCACCGATAAATCCAAGGAGAAGCAGGACAAGAGAGGAGGAGGGGGGTCTTGGGAGTGGGAGATGGTCAGGACAGGTACGTCCCCTGGGGTAGGAATCTGGGGCTTAGTGTCCAGCTGGGAAGAATGGAGGGGGTGAGATGCATCTGGGGACCAGGATGGCATAAACAGCCCATTCCCTCCCGTGGGCAGTGGTCATGGGATGACTGCATCAGCCAGCCAAGGCCCAGACAGAGCCCACTGCTGGACAGCAGGTCCGACGTGCCCCCTGTCTGCACCTTGGGTTGGAGGGATCCCAGTGAGACTCGAGAGGAACCTCCTGCCGGATCCAGTCAAACCCATCTGCTCACCTGGAGGGTGCAGCTCTTAGGAAGCGGTCCTGCAGGGTGCCAGGATCTGGGGGGAGGGAAGTGGGAGCCCCCGGCGGCTCCCCATGGTGCTCCTTTGCAGGTGTGTAAGTATGACTTCGTGGAGGTGCGCAGCGGCCTGTCCCCTGATGCCAAGCTGCACGGCAAGTTCTGCGGCTCTGAGACGCCCGAGGTCATCACCTCGCAGAGCAACAACATGCGCGTGGAGTTCAAGTCCGACAACACCGTCTCCAAACGCGGCTTCAGGGCCCACTTCTTCTCAGGTGTGCAGGCTTGGGGGCAAGACCACAGACTGAGGGAGACAGGGTTTTGCAGGCTCCCAGCCTCAGGGCACCCGCCTACCCGTCTCTGTCCGCTGCCCGTGCCCTCACAGTCTCTGCCTCGGTCCGGGTTTTATACAGTGGTAGCTATATTATTATAGGACTGCCGAAACAAATGACCACGCACTGGGTGGCTCAAAACAACAGAAGTGTTGTCTCTCACAGCTCTGGGGGCCAGAGGTCTGAAATTGAGGTGTGGGAAAGGCTGGACTCCCCCAAAGGGCTTGAAGAAGAGCCTGGGTTATCTCTTTGTAGCCCCTGGTTCCAGTAGTGAAGTGCTGAGTGGTCATCAGTTCTTTATTTGTTAAGGGTTCTTTAAGGATTCTTAGTTGTCCTCATGGAATCAAAGGCTAAAACACTGAGTGTTTGGTGACCCATTACTGGCAGTAGGCAGAGCGAAGGGAGACACCTGAGCCCCGAGGTTATCCTTGGGGAAGGGCTGGGGGTGGAGGCTGACCCTCGGTTAGTAGGGGAGGAAGCTGCCTTAGGCAAGGGCTGCACACTTTAGGCACAGGAACCACAGTGACGACAGCAGCTAATGCTTGAGTCCATCCATGATAATAAGTAAAAGCTAACAGTGACATGGGGCTGGACACAGTTCTAAGTGTTTTTTTCTTATACTAACTCATTTTCTCCTCTCAACAACCCTGTGAGGTAAGGACACCATGACTGACTCCATTTTACAGGTGAAGCAACTGAGGCACAGAGGTCAAGGACTCCCCAAGGTCACAATAGCTGGAAGCAGAGGAGCAGGGCTGGCACTGGGCTGTCTGGCTCCTGGCTCACATGCTTATTTGCTCCGCAGGCAGGAGGAGGTGTGGAGTCATGGAATAAGAGCCCAGGCCTCCAGGTCATACCGGCTGCTTACTCACTGAGTAACCTTGGGCACGTTAGCGGTCTCAGCCTCAGTTTCCCTACCTGTAAAATGGGGACACAGGCACCTCCCTCCTAAGGATGTGTAACAATTAAGTTAGGTAATATAGAGAGTATATGCTAAGTCCTTTAGTTGTGTCCAGCTCTTTGCAATCCTATGGACTGTAGTCTACCAGGCTCCTCTGTCCAAGGAATTCTCCAGGCAAGAATACTGGAGTGGGTTGCCATACCCTTCTCCAGGGCATCTTCCCTACCCAAGGATTGAACCCACATCTCATGTCTCCTGCATTGGATGTAGATTCTTTACCACCTCAGAAGCCCAGAGAGTATAGTATAGAGTGATTAGTGTCCATCACATAGTAAATAATTCATGGTAGCTGTTTTTTTCTTGTTAATATTATTACTACTATTAGCCTATCCTTTAGGGAGCTCCTTGGTTTGGGTGGGGAGCAGGGGTGGAGACACACGCACACATCAAGTACTTAAGGAGCATGGGGAATATACAGGGCCAGGTCATGCACAAGGAATGCCGCCCCACCCTCCCCCTTAGAGAAGAATAATCAGTGTTGGGGATGATCAGGGAGGCTCCCTGGCAGAGGCTCCTTTGGAGCGGGACCCTGGGCTGTGAGGAGCGCCCCCATGTTGGTGGTTCCCCTTAGGACAGTCCGCTGATCTCCACAGACAAGGACGAGTGCGCCAAGGACAACGGCGGCTGCCAGCACGAGTGTGTCAACACGTTTGGGAGCTACCTGTGCAGGTGTAGGAACGGCTACAGGCTCCATGAGAACGGGCAGGACTGCAAAGAGGGTGAGGCTGGATCGTGGCTGGCATCAGGGCGTGGGGGGTCACCTTGGCTGCCCGAGTATACCCATGCTCAACAGCCAGGGGCGCTTCTTCCCCGGTTGGCCAAGCCCGGAAATGAGGCTCAGCTTCTGCCTGCCTTCCCTTCTCCCAGCCTCCTGTTCATGAGTGATTTCCCCCAGGGTAGTCACTCCCTCAGGGGGCTTGTAGGGGCCCTCAAGTGCTCTTCTACACTTATTATTGCAAAGAAGTTAAACCCCAGGTTCCAGAATCAGACCCCCAAGGTTTAAATCTTGGTTCCGCTACTTACTAGCTGTGTGACCTCGGGCAAGTGACTTAACCTCTCTGAGCCTCAGTTTCCTCTTCTGTATAAAAAGGACTAAACATACCTGGTTTTTGTGAGGGTTAAATAAGAGAATGCTTAGCAAGTATTTCATATAGGCTGACACATAGTAAGCACTTGAAATGTCAGTAGATATCAGCCATCTATGTCATAATCTTATTTACCATGCATGAGTCTAGTAAAATAGAATTTGGGGAAGACTCTGTTCCCTGCTCCATTTGCTCCTGGGAGTCCTTCAGAGCCAGATGGCTTTTGATGTCCAGCCACCCTGAGAAAGGCCTTCCGTGTGTGCCTACTCCACCCTGCAAAGGGGGTTTGAGCATCTCGATAAATACACAAGCCTGCTGGCCTTGGCCCCACCACAAAGCCCTGCATGCCCAGCAGGGAAGGGAAGAGGTGAGGACTTCACACCCCACCTGGGACAAGCACTTCAGACTTAGGGGATTCGGGCTGGCCAGGGCCTCCTTGGAAAATGAGCTAATTAAGAATTGAAGAAGGAGCTCAGACATCTTCCGAAGCCCACCCTCAAGGCCAGCGTTCTGACCTGGACACAGGCAGTCACAGGTTGGGTTGAAAGTTGGGTCGGAAGAAGGAGCTGTCATTCTGGAACTTAAAAAAACTAAAAAAAACCCAAAAAACTTTCATCTAGCCCCTGCGGTGCAGGGGAGGCCAGGAGGATTATAAAGTCAGCTAAGGTTCCATCAGGTGAACGGGATGGGTCCCCGTCGGGGGGTGGGGCATCCAGGAGCAGACACCCCGTGTCTGAATTGTTGCCCTGTTGGCACCTGTTCTCCTCATGCTGCAGAGCAGAGGCAGCAAGGAGGTGGAACCTCCACACAGCTGCCCCCCACCCTGACCTGCCCTCAACTGCCCCCTCCCCACAAACACACACACCACAACCTGCAGCCTGGGAGACAGCAGTGGTACCTCCTCGGGTCCTCTCCTTCCTAATCAGCGTTGGCAAAGGCAGTCCTGGCTCCACCCCTGACCAACAGGTCGCTTGCCTTCTCTCAGCTTATTTTCTCAATTAGAAGGTGGAAAGGATTAATGAGAGGTTGCAATCAAAGTGCTTACCACAGCGCTCAACACAGAGGGAGACGAATTCTAGCTGGTGGCCAAAACACTACTTACTGAGCAAGTTGTGGCACCACTCTTTGCAAATAGCACGGTAACCAGGGCAACATCTGTAGCCTCCAATTGAAACTACTTTGGAAACTAAAAGACAGGAGGCATGGTGATGGAGACCTTTGTTAGCACTCGCCGTGCCTTTCACAGGCATTATCTCATTTAATCCATGCACACACACCCCTCCAAAGGGTGTGCATTTAATCCATGCACACACCCCACTCCTTTTACAAACAAGGACACCAAGGCTTATAGAAGCTCCCAAAGTCCCCCAGCTTGTATGCAGTGGAACCAGGACTTGAGCTGAGGCCCATCTGACCCCAGGGCCTGTGGTCTTAACCAACTCTACCATATTTCCAATGACAACTGCAATGCAAATAGCAATAGTTAGAAAGATGACCTGGCTCCAGGAAGGTAGCGAAGAGAAATACATCAGATCTCTGAGCCAAGGAACCCTTGATTCGGGCTAGCCTCTGCCCCCATGTTCAATGACCATGTGACAAGATCTCAGGGAGGAGACTCTTCCAGAACACCTCTTCTGCTGCCCAAAGTGAGCTACCTCTCTCTCTCTCTCATGCTGTCTCTCTCTGCCTGTCCCCAGCCGGCTGTGTACACAAGATCAGCAGCGCAGAGGGGTCCCTGATGAGCCCCAACTGGCCTGACAAATACCCGAGCCGGAGGGAGTGCACCTGGAACATCTCTTCAACCGCGGGCCATAGGGTGAAACTCGTGAGTTATTTTCAAAGTCTATGAACGACACAGATTTCAGTATCAGGCTGACATGGGTCTCTGCTCTGAAACCTGGTGATGTTAATCAACGTCTCCAGGACTCAGTTTTGTATTCTGGAAAAGGGGGCTGCTAGTAAAACCTACCTCCCGTAGCTGTTGTGCAGATTAGAAAAGAGGATGTACCTGAAGCCATCCGCACAGGGTGGTGCGTGAGCAACACTGTGTAAACGGCACCTGTTCACAGTGGTGTCACTCTGAACTGGCACCCTTTACACAGACTTCAAGTGTTGTTCGTGATTCCGTTGTTTGCAGTAATAATATTTTACCAAATGATACATTCTCAAGATATTAAAAAATATATAGTCAGAGGGTTGGAAAGTGAAAACCAAATTTCCAGACCCCCATGCTCACTCTAGAAATTACTTTTCTGAACATTTTTTTGTGAATTCTTCCAGAAATTTCTGTGTATGCACAGGAAAAAAACATATATCCTTTTCTTGCTCACATTTCTCAAAAGTACTCTATTTTCATATTCCTCTACAACTTAACATTTTCCCCATTAACAAAGAGTTGGACATGACTGAGCAACTAAGCACTTAGCACCTCGCTATTTTTAGCTAATTAACAATAGGAGATTAAGTCATGTATGCTAATTCTCTCTTGCATTAAACATATACATCTTCCAAGCCTTTCTTTGAGCTTCTCTGGTGGCTCAGCTGGTAAAGAATCTGCCTGCAATGCAGGAGACCCGGGTTCCATCCCTGGGTTGGGAAGATCCCCTGGAGAAGGGAATGGCAACCCACTCCAGTATTCTCACCTCGAAAATTCCATGAATAGAGCAGCCTGGTGGGCTACAGTCCATGGGGTCGACAAGAATCAGACACAGCTGAGCGATTAACACACTCACACACAGCCTTTTTTTAAAGTCCTATCCGTGCATATGATTGTGGTAGTCTGCATACCATGCTCGGTTATTGCAAAAGAGAAATGAGTTTTTCCTACAAGTCTTGCTTCTCAACCACCAGGGACTTCCAAATCCTGGAGTGTAAGACAAACCCTCTTGCTTTCTGTAGAAACTGTATTCCAGCAGACAAATAGTTTTTAAATGGGTCATTCTAACTCTGGAGATTGCTAAACTCTTCAGAATACACATAGACGTCCCCTTGAATTATGGACCCCTTGGATTAGTATATGAGTGTCCCCTTGAATTATGGACCATATCTCCAGGGAGAAGGGGAGATAACATAGGAGAAGGTGATGATAAACAGACGCTTACCTGGAGATTTACATGGGTGTTTATTGGCGAGAGCAGTGAGGAGGACAGGTGGGTGAACGCGCGCCCAAGTTGGGCAGGAGGTGCTGGTATCTCTCTGTGCCAGGCCTGGGGCATCGGGGGTAAAGTCAGGGTCCCTGACCAAGGGTGCTCATGTGGGCACCTCCTATGCATGGCTGTCCCTATAGTAAGCACTTTGGGTTGCTCTCCTGGGTCAGTTAGAGCCTTGAATCTGGGCGAGGGTGAATTAAAGCGAGTGCATTGGAGAAAGGCTGCCATCTGCTGGAGGATGTTCATCATGGCAACAGAAATCTCTGAAGCAGCGGGGGAATGGCTCCCCCCCACCCCACCCTGGGGTTGGGAACGTGCAATGTGCACTCTTGTAACCGGTGCTTCGGTGGAAGGGTCACAAGATTTCAGTAATTGCCCCCAAAGTCTTTTCCTTTTCTTTGCAGTGCTGAAGAACTAAAACAACCGATCACAGTGGCCAGAGTGAGCCCAGACCTCCAGTTTATCTGAGGCTCATACATACGTGCTAGTTCTTAAATATTTCCTTGGGAAGTGGGTAGTGGGTATTGATCACGCTCTAGTGTTTTGCTGCCACAGAGTGTGAGCTGAATGCTTACCAAGAAGCTAGTGTCTGACTGCATGGGGACAGCCACGGGGCATCCCGTGATAGGGAGCCCCCTGGCCCGCCATCCGCCTCCCATGGCCCTGCCCACCCTGTTTCCACCGGCCTCCCTTTCCTACTCCTGCCCACAGCCCTACCCCCACTCTCTCGCCCCTCCTCCCTGTCTGTAAGTGTGAAGAGTCTTTCCCATTTCAAGTGTGTTTAACACCCTTACAAAAGCCAGTGGCCCCTCTATTTCTGCCTCTACCTCTGTCCCTGACCTGTTGCCCCAGCTCCCTTGCTGTGAACTGAGGCTCCTTCCCAGCCCCTCCTGGTAATGTTCTCTCTCCTCCTCTGTCATTTGGTCCAAGTCTTCGTTTAAAGTGTCCCCTCTCTTTAAATGCCCCTGGTAGCCAAGGGCAGTCATCTGTCCAGAGCCTGAGAAGTCCTGCATTTGGAGCTGCAGAGCCTGGCACACAGCCTGAAATTATGAGGTTGCCCTGGCCTGCTTTGGGGGATAGGCTTGAGGGGACAAGAAGAGAGGCCGTACAGGTTGGTGATGGTTAGGAGTGTGGTCTGGAGTCAGGCTGCCTGGGAGTCAAGTTCAGCTCCATCCTCTAGCTGGGTGAGCGTGGGCAGGTTCCTTAACTTCCCTAAGACTCAGTTTCCCCTTCTGCACACTGGGGATACTCATAGCCCTTCCCTGACAGCATCATCAGAATTAAGTAACAAAATGCAGGGCTCTGCATGGAAAGAAAACTCACCTCAGGCCAGCCTCTCTGATCGTGAGCACGTGGAGCAGCGTGCACTTCATAAAAGCGCCGTTCACATCATCTGTGCCGAGGCGACTGCACAGTGCAGGGCAAAGGTTGCGGGCAGAGGCTCCTGGCCTCCTGGCCCGAGCCCAGCTCTGCCAGTGGGTGACCCTTGGGCAAGTTATGCGACAGCTCTGTGCCTCGGTTTCCTCATCTGTAAAGTGGTGGTTTTCACGGTAGACACCTCACAAGATCGTGAGGACTGCTACTTACCAAACCCTGAGAACAGCACCTGGCCCAGAGGAAGCTCCATGGTCTCATGGTTAAGCGAGGAGACTCCGTGAGACACGACCAAGGAGCACAGACATCAACACGCGTTGACACTCTCTGACCCCAGCTATCTTATCCGCCAAGGGGTCATGGTGGAAGTGGCTCACAGGGTTGCTCTGGAGACCAAAAGAGGCCAAGTGGTGACCCTCACCACAAGTGTGGCCATCATCGCCATGGGCTCCCCGCCCCCCGCACAGCTGGCTGGGCAGATGTGTGTCCTTGTGTCCCGGAGAGGGGGCCTGCACCCACCCCGGCTGAAAGGACCTGGCCTCACTCGCTGCTCTTTCATCCCCAGACGTTTAATGAATTCGAGATCGAGCAGCACCAGGAATGTGCCTACGACCACCTGGAACTGTACGACGGGCCTGACAGCCAGGCCCCCGTCCTCGGCCGTTTCTGCGGCAGCAAGAAGCCGGACCCCGTGGTGGCCTCAGGCAGCAGCCTGTTTCTCCGGTTTTATTCGGATGCCTCGGTGCAGAGGAGAGGATTCCAGGCCGTGCACAGCACAGGTGCGTGGGCTGGGGCCCTGGCCTTCAGCTAATCCCCATGTGGACCCGAGATAGATGAGTGATGAAGGCAGGAAAAGGACCACCTTTAATTCTGATTATTGTGGGGACGGGAGGTGTGTGATGATGTGTCCCTTTTAAAATGAAACATGAACAGCCATGCAGGGAGGGATGTTTTAATGTCTTTGACAACCTATTAAGTGAGCAACCCTTTTTCAGTGCCAAACTTCTTACCTCTCTTCCTTTCTTCATCCTGCCCTCCTTTTAAACTTTTATTTGTAATTTTGCTCGTTTGTGTCTGGGTGCTGAATGGTGGAAAGAAGTCCTCTGTACCCTCCAAGAAGCAGTTCCAAAAAACCAAAAGTGTTTCTGTTTCCCGTTATTTTCCTCACTTGAAATAAACAGCCTTAATTAGCCCTTTGGAGGAAAATGTTTATGCTTATAACTTACATTATTTACCATGTTAAATAGAAGAAAATCAGTAAGAACATTGGCTCTGCTCTTTAGCCACTTAAAGGATACAGCCTAGGACTTGTTCAGTCGCTAAGTCGTGTCCGACTCTTTGCGACTCCTCTTTGCAGCACTACGGGCTTCCCTGTCCTTCACCATCTCCGGGAGCTTGCTCAAACTCACGTCCATGGAGTTGGTGATTCCATCCAACCATCTCATCCTCTGTCGCCCCCTTCTCCTGCCCTCATACAGCCTGGGACTAGAATCCATGAAGCAACCTTGACTTTCTGATCCTCGCCCTCTGACAAAGCAGCGGCAGTGAGGCTCACTCAGAGTCTGCTATCATGATCATGACCTCTGTGAGGTTTTCTGATCCCTTTAACAGCCCCTTCTCCCAGTTTTTTCCCAGAGCCAGAAAATATGAATCAGATGAGACAAAGCGACAGCCAGCATCTTCGAAGCCTGGCTGACTCTGGCCGTGAACTCCCCACTGTTCACGGCTGCATCACCACTTGCCTGGTGACATTTAAAAGCCACTGACTAGTGACTTCACCCTCTTGTCCCTGCAGACTGAGTGTGGGTGATCAGGGTGCTCAGGGTCCTGCAGGAAACAGGGCACACTCAGGTGGAGTCATTATTTGAGAAGCTACTAAAGGACGGTTTACAGAGGGCTGGACAGGATGTGGGGACACCACAGGGACAGTGCAGCAACCATGGCTAAGATGTAAGGCTGTCACTCCCATCGGCCTCAATGACAGAGGCGGGGGATCAGTTTCTGAAGCCTAGAGACAAAAGCAGGCAAGCAGAGTGCCCCCAAACAGGAGCTGCGACTTGTAGTCAAAGGATACAGCCTGTGGTGACCAGGCAAGGAGGGGCCTGGGACTAGTGCCCTGACCTCTCTCTTCCCTGATCTGCTAGTGCTGCCTGTGGCCGGATCATGGGGCCAAGGGATCCATGTAGACCCAGAGGTCTGCCTCCAGGGGCCAGGGCAGGTGGGGAGAGGAGAGGAGATCTGGCAGGATGGATGGGAGGCATCCTACCCTGCTCAGCCCTCACTTCATTGCCAGCCACATCGCAAGAATTTGAAATTTTCCAAAGATAGCTCAGACCTGGAAGAAAATCTAAGCCAGAGCACATTCAGGACTGAGAGCTGGCAGTCAGACAGGACTGGGGCCAGGCTGGATGTGGAGCTCCAGCTGGGCGGGGGACAGCGGGGGGGGGGGGGGCGGGGGGGAAGGCGGGCAGGGGACCTCCGGGCAAGGTGAACATTACCGTACAGTGTGGACGCCACACCATGGGGAGGAGGCATGGAGCATGCTGAAAACTGCAGTGGGGAAATTTACCTTCAAAATTCCGTTGCTATCTAATGTCCTATCACTCCCATGTACGTATTTTTATCATGTGTTATGTAGGATGGGCTCAGGCCAACCAGGGTTACCATCCTAGTTAAAAATAGAAGCTAAAGCTACAGAATACAAGTCCAAAGTTTGAGGCATAGCTCACCTGTAACACCCGCAGAGGGTTTTTGAAAGCTAGCCTGTGGTCAGGCTCTCAAATGCAGGTGCTGATGCTGCTGCTTAGGCGCGTCCAACTCTTTGGGACCCTATGAGCTGTGTAGCTCACCAGGTTTCTCTGTACGTGGTGATTCTCCAGGCAGGAATACTGGAGAAGGTTGCCATGCCCTCCTCCACCATCTGGACCATCAGGGAAGCCCAAGAATACTGGAGTTGGTAGATTACCTCTTCTCCAGGGAATGGGGATCTTCCAGGAATTGACCCAGGAATCAAACCGGGGTCTCCCACATTGGGGTCAGATACTTTACCAGTGGAACTATCAGGGAAGCCCAGATACAGGTGCTGCTGCTGCTGCTGCTAAGTCACTTCTGTTGTGTCCGAATCTGTGCGACTACATAGACGGCAGCCCACCAGGCTCCGCCATCCCTGGGATTCTCCAGGCAAGAACACTGGAGTGGGTTGCCTTTTCCTTCTCCAATGCATGAAAGTGAAAAGTGAAAGTGAGGTCGCTCTGTCGTGTCCGACTCTTCGTGACCCCATGGACTGCAGCCTACCAGGCTCCTCCGTCCATGGGATTTTCCAGGCAAGAGTACTGGAGTGGGGTGCCATTGCCCTCTCCAGAGATACAGGTGCAAGCCAGGTCTATTCTGAGGTTTCAGGTGTGAGCCCTCACCAGCAGCTTTGATGCGCTTTTGGCGCCCTCTGCTGGCAAAAATAACAGATTACGGTAAGTCTGTCGGCAGGAGTGAGCCCTCTTCAGATGCTTCCAGGCAACAAAGTGGTAAAGATCCAACCACATCCCGGCGACCAGTAGGGCAGACCATCCCTTGGCCCCATATATCCATAACTGGAGAGAAGGAAAGCCTTTTATCATGGGATCTCTGGTGTTCCCCGAGGCTCCCTATAGCCCGATCTGGGCACATAGGTCCTGGGTTTGTGTGTAAGGGCTAATTTGGATCCCCCAGCGAACCCTGGAAACTCCTGGATCTCTTTTACGTCTCTGTAAAATGGGTTTTTTGTTTTTGTTTGTTTGTTTGTTTGTTTTTGGAGGAGGAAAGGGCAACCCACTCCAGTATTCTTGCTTGGAAAATTCCATGGACAGAGGAACCTGACAGGCTACAGTCCATGGGCTGCAAATTCGGACACGACTGAGTGACTAACAAAATGGGGCGATGAAACTTGCCTGGCCTTTGGCACAGAGCAAACACTAGGCTTTGTAGAGAAAACCGGCCTGTAGAGAGGGTGTGAAGAGAGACGGGGTCGCTGGGGGTGGGGTGCGCGGCGCGGAGCGTGGCCTCTCTGTGCCGAGGGGGCATCGCGCTTCTCTCTCTGCTCCAGAGTGTGGGGGCAGGCTGAAGGCCGAAGTGCAGACCAAAGAGCTCTATTCCCATGCCCAGTTTGGGGACAACAACTACCCAAGCCAGGCCCGCTGCGACTGGGTGATCGTGGCGGAGGACGGCTACGGCGTGGAGTTGATCTTCCGCACGTTTGAGGTCGAGGAGGAAGCCGACTGCGGCTACGACTACATGGAGGCGTTCGACGGCTACGACAGCACAGCGCCCAGGCTCGGCCGCTTCTGCGGCTCCGGGGTGAGTCCTGGGGATGCTGGGGGTGGTGGTGGGCGTTCACCGCGGGGACCCAGAGCATGAACTGAGCGGTCAGACACACGTGGGTCACACCCTGGCGGCCCCTGCGGCTGCTTAGGGCCCCAGCCACGAGGCGCGTCCTGCTGGAGCCAGGAGGGAAACCCGGAGTATAGTGGAGAGGAGGTTGGGAGGTAACGGGGACCAGTTCAGAAGGCCTTCTGCAGAGGCCAGCTAGGGAAGAGCATCTTCCTTTTAGTGCTGCCTGGTTTTGCAGACTGGGCTTCCCTGGTAGCTCAGCTGGTAAAGAATCCGCCTGTAATGCAGGAGACCGGGGTTTGATTCCTGGGTGGGAAAGATCCCCTGGAGAAGGGATAGGCTACCCATTCCAGTGTTCCGGTGGCTCAGCTAGCCACTCCTGTATTCTGGCCTGGAGAATTTCATGGACTGTAGTCCATTGGGTCACAAAGAGTCCCATGCAACTTTCACTTCACTTCACTTTTGCAGAGAGTTTGTCTTACTTTTGCAGAGGGTTTGTCTCCCCACACCCCCATTTTTATTTAGCCTTCAGGCCTTTTTTAAAAAAAATATTTTAACTATCCTCTTGTGTAGTCTATGTACTCCCAAGTCTCTCCCCCAGTAGAAACCAAGTGCTTATATAAATTAAAAATCACTCTTTTAACTATAAACATTAGTTATGTTCAAGGTCATTATGATTGTTTTCATTATTATCTTTTTTCTGGGCCACCTCCTCAGGACAGGGCATGCCTGTTTTCATCACCATTTCCCCAGCACCTGCCATAGGCCCTGAGTTGACGCTCAGTGAGAGCGTAGACCATTTCAGTGTCCTGGTCCTCCTCCATCTGCATCATGCTGAGCACTGCCCACACTGGGCTTCCAGCTCTGTCTTTTCCTTCACCTGCAGAGCTGATCACTCAAGCCTCTTTGCAATTGGCCGAACTTAACAATAAATCATTCTGGAGTCATTAGTGCATGTGGTAAACTGGCCCCAAACTGGCCTTTGTGTGGATCTTTGAATAATATCCCTTCATCTTCTCTCACCCTCCAAAAAAGAAAGGAAGACACAGTGTGGCTTAGCTGATGCAGTGCCTTTGAGAGATAAAGGCTTTCAAACTGTGGGGTCCACACGTGGAGGAGAACTTTGAAGGGTCCTGAGCAGTGAAATATATGGGAAGCCCAGTTTGGTTCCATTAGAATCTGGCAGATGGTAGCCTGGGATCCTGGCTCCCCTTCACCTACCACCTGGCGAAACCTTTCTGTCAAATGTAGCAACTCCATCCCAGTTTTGTCCTTAGACAAGACAGAGGCCTCAGCGATGGTCTTTGTCTTAGATCTCCTGGGAGAACATCACAGCGGTGACCCTAGTGCTGGGTGATTCATGATATACACTATATAGTCAGAAGACCTGAGGTTGAGGACTATTGAGTTGTGAACTAGATTTTCAACTGGATTCTCAAGCATAGAATGGAGATAGTGCCTGCCTTATAAAGCGACTGTAACTTTACATGAGACAAAATCTGAAAATGCTTCAGCGTGTGTGTGTGTTAGTCACTCAGTCATGTCCAACTCTTTGCTACCCCATGGACTGTAGCCTGCCAGGCTCCTCTGGCCATGGGATTCTCCAGGCAAGAACACTGTAGTGGGTTGACATTCCCTTCTCCAGGGGATCTTGGAGGGATCAAATCCAGGTCTCCTGCATTGCAGGAGATTCTTTGCCATCTGAGCCACCAGGGAAGCCCTGAAAGTGCTTAGATGCACTTAATTAACTGATGCACTTAATAATAATAGATTCTATATGAGTTGTGCATTTAGAATTGTCTTTGGAAAAGTAGAGCTGGGGCAAGGGGGTGGGGGTGCTATTGGGAGCAGAATTTGAAAAGGTTTTATTTGAAAAGCAGCTTGTTTTGATGTCCTTCAGCATCTCTCCTGTGTCTCTGTCTCATCCTCCTTATTTTAATACTCCAACCATAGCCAACTGGCTTAAAGTCCCCCTGGTTTTCCTTTCTCCCTCCCTCAGCCATTGGAAGAAATCTACTCTGCAGGGGATTCTCTGATGATTCGATTCCACACTGATGACACCATTAACAAGAAAGGCTTTCATGCCCGGTATACCAGTACCAAGTTCCAGGATGCCCTACACATGAAGAAATAATGTTGTTCTTGAAAAACAGGAACTGAGAATGTTTTTATAACAATAGCACCTTGTGAATCTGCCCTAAAGCAGTGTACAGTATTATTCTGAAACAAAAACTCAAAATCTAGCCTTGGAAGTGTGTGTTTCTGATGAATTTGGCCAGAACAAGGAGGGGAGAAGATATTTCTTTGATTCCGGCCTCGGTGTTGCCAATCACGCAGTTTTAAAGATTAAGATTTGATGTCACTGGCTATTTAAGCTTGGCCTGTTTGTTCTCTTTGCCCTTTGCTCCTATGAGGCAGAAGCCTACCCTTGGATGGCTCTGTTTCTGGATGTGCTTCCATAGGTGTAAGGCAGGCTGACCATGTCTCAGAGACTCAGGGCATCTTCCGTCAGCGCTGGGCAATGAGGATAAAAGACTGGCCATAGCTCACGTGATCCTCACAGCTTTGGCTGGAGACATTAACTCTCTGCCAGGGACACATCACCCAAGAAGCCTGAGAATATGGGTGCTGGGACTAAAACAGGCATCGCAGTAAGCATCGTACAGAGGAAGCTGGTGTTTGAGGATCACTGTCACATAGCAAGGAGACCCCCAACTTGTCCTCTGTGTCTTCAGCTCTCCTTGCCCATGTTGGGGTTTCTCCATCCCTAATTGCATTAAGGGTCCAAGGCATCTGTTGTGACTTCAGCAGAACATTTGCTGGTGAGAGTCCCTAGTCTTCCGAAAAGAAGACATCCTGACTTGTCCTCCTGCCCTTGCTGACTTGGAGAAGACTCCACGTGGCCTTGGGATTCCATGGGCCAATAATATCTCTTTCTCCAGCCTTGGAGGCCCTTGCTGTGGTTGACTTTCATTCCTGACAACCAGTTCAAACTATATTTGCAAAACGTGCAAAGACATCTTATGGGGGACCATTCAGGTCCCTCATGAACATCATTGAAAACTGGTTAATTATAAGTTATGTAAGAATCAACACTTTGTGGAACAAGTCTACCTGTGACTAACTTCCTGAAACTGGTTGGGTTAAAGAGTGCGTTGGTGACTTACTCAGACTAACTAGCGTTCAGTCACCAGCTTTCAATTAGAATTCATCACATTTGGCACTCTCTTTGGAGAAGTGGAGAAGATGTTGTTTACATAATTTTAGAACCTCCAGGTATACTTTAAACAGTGAGGTAGTTTTGAATGGCATTTCATTAAGGCATCTATGGGCATTATGAGCTAAAAGCTGTGGTATGTTAGCTTTAAAAAAGAGTATTTATGTTGGAATAATTTTAAAATAATGTTTACATAGCTGTAAGTCCTGTGTGGTTGGTATTGAACACAGGATCGCACACGAGAAGGTTTTTGGTGAGAGATGAAATTGCTCCCAAGCACCAGAATTCCTTGGGGATTAATCAACATCATTTGAAACAAAATATTTGCAAAACATTTAAAGGTGATATTTTTGAAAATCAGAATATGGCCCCGAAGGACTATGTCTAGTTTAAAAGATTGGTGGGAGTTAAAATAAAAAGACATAAAAGAATAAGAATACAAAGAAAGGTAGAAAAAAATGCATGGGAATATTTTTCCTTAAAACAGAAAAAAATCAAAGTATTATTATTAATATTAATATATGTCTGTATATATGTATGTATGTAAAGGATCCACTGTCAGAGCCTTAATCAGTGCAGTGCGATAAATGCTGACCCACAGGCTTGACTGAATAGGCCCTCCTGGACCGGCCTTGTGTTTTATGGGTCTACTTTTACCAAGCCTCTCTTGGCCTTTCTTGGCCCTGGAGGGAGGTTCAGCCTACATTCTTATATTGTGATCTTTCGCAGCCCCTGTCCCAGAAGATCTTTGATTCAGCACATGGAACAGCTTGTCATGTGGTTCAGGTCTTACCCACCTCATAGGGTAGTTTCCATTTCTCTGATTTTTTGTCTGGGGGCTTTTATTTTGTCCCATCTCATCTTCAAAGTTGACACCGAAATCAGGATGCAGAAGGTGGCTGTTAAGGGTCTCTCGCCGAGAATTTGAAAATTCTGTAGTTTCAGCCTTTAGAAGTCTGAATAAGATTGATGAATTCCCTGGAAAAGTGAGAGGGAGTCAGAAACAGAGTCAGCTCTGCCTCTGTCTTTGCTGCCCTCTTGAAACAATGGTACTTGTTTTTCTGTCTCTAGTATGATTTTCAAAAACACACAGCTTCAACCATTATCAACCTGTGGCCAATTGGAAACAATGAGATGCTTATGAAAACTTTCTTTAGGCCTTCTGTGAGTGACGTATTCCCAGAAAAGACAAGCTCTGATTCAGCTGGGGCTGGCCAAACAGCTCCCCTGGAAGCTCAGACTCACGGGACATACACACAATGAAGGTTCTGCAAAGAACTGAACAGATGGCTTCACGAGAGAAAGTCCACTCAGCAGAAAGACCCAGGCCCCTGCCTTGGCTCTTCCAAATGCTCAGTGACCTTTCTGTACACATCCCACAGGACGTTACCCCTGCCTGCTTTGTCCTTGGGGCTGTCGCAAAGCTCCAAACAGGCTGACTTCAGCTCAGAGAATTCTCTTGATGACCTGGTGAAACATTTGGGGTCCAGGTCTTCAGCCTGTTCCAATTCTAGTGTCATCTGGTCTAGCAAATGCTAGAACCTGGATCCCAGGGCGGGGTGAGGATCTGGAATTAACTTCAGCCTGTAGAATTTCTCCAACCAGAGAAGGAGGCTGTGCATTGATTCACCATAAGACGGTTTTCCTCTAAAGTTGTTTTATGTTACTCATGAAATGCTCAACCTGGTTACATCATTTGTAAAATCTTGTTAACTAACAAATCACCCTGGGGTTTGTCATCAATCTGGTCCATTTGATAAATATCAGATAATTTGTGGTATTGTCATTGTTCAATGTGTGAACAAGTGTTCCCTAGGCTTCAGCAGATGGTATTCAAGTTTCCTTTGTAGACTGAACTTCTGAAAAATAATCCCAAATGCCTAGAAGATTTCTTTAAAAAAAAAGAAAGAAAAACCATTTAGAGCATTATCTATAAATATACTGTATTTTTTATCTTGTGTAATGGTACGTTTCATGAAATGTCTGTTTCAAAAAGAAAGTGGAAAGGAGCTAACATATGTATAGAAAGAATTGTTTCATTAAAGAATGTGGATTTATCGATGTGTCCTGGGTTTGTATGACAAGTCCTCTTGGTGATCTTTTTCTCCAATATCACAGGAACTTGGGAAGCATGTACAAAAGGGGGGGCCTTCTCTCTGGCCTTCTATGATCTGGTGGATACCCAGAGCCTGGCTCCAGAACAGGGCTCCTATTGGACCCAGAAAGTCACGGGCAAAGCTGAAGAGGGCTTCAAAGTCTTCTCCATTCTTGGATCCAGACAGGCTGGAACTCTAACAACATGAACGTTGCAGAGATGGTTGCTTCTCTAACAGCTTAGGCATGGTAGCCAGCTTCCCTTTGTCCCCCAGCAATTCTCTTCATCTGGTTTTGAGCCTGAGGACCACATGTGACTTCTAAAACTGAAGGTCACAGTTCTTACAAGGGGGCTCTCTCACAAGTGGCAACTGGGTTTTTGGTCTTTGGGGATCTTGTTGTTCATGATTTGCCCCAGCTGCCCATGCACACAGTTATTTTTAGTTCCTTACAGTTTCTTTGTGTTTGGTTGCTCAAGGAGACATTTGTCCAGATGCAAGCAAGCACTGTAACAAGGGGTCCCAGGTCGCAGACCCCAGCCTAGCTCAAGACACATCAGATTCTCCTTTTGAAACTAGAGTCCTGATCAAGGGGTAAGAGGGCTAAGCTTCTTCAGGGCTTGTTTTCCCTGGAAGGATGTCCTGAGAGCACCATCTAGGAGTTCTTGCTGCTGAAGCCTCAGGAGCGACCCAGAGCCGGGGTCCCCGACCTCTCTTCTTTCTGTTGGCATCCCTACACCCCCCAACCAATTTCATTTCTTCTTAAATTAAAGATTAGGCATCTGAAAAAATATTAGACTTCTCTTTTGATGCTTATGACTGGAAAACCATGACTGACCCAGACTCTTAGGCCAGAGCACCTTGACTTTCTTAGCAATTCTTCCAAAGGAGTAATGTGTCCATTGGAGGACGAGTTGGTGACCAGTGGATGCAAAACAAAGACAGAGTTAAAAAGGCCCTTGCTGGCCTCATCCATCTGCGGACAGCTTAGCCAGAGGGGGCAGGGCCATCAACGCCAGTTCCTTGGTCCAGATCTCTGGTCCAGGTGTAATTTCATGCCCACCAAGCAAAGATAGAAGCACAGTTTGTACCAGTTGTGCTGATTTAAATGGTCTAATAACCTGTATTGTAAACATGTTGTCGCTACTTTATAGATTGAGACGGAGGTTGGAAGAAGTTACTTCACTTGCCTAAGACCACACAGGGTCCAGAAGTGTGGTCAAGGCATTCCAAACAGGCGTCTCTGAGCTGTGTTGTCTCCCTGACTTCTGGGCACCGGTGGATTCAGTTTAAGCCTCTCTGAGTCTTGGGGACCTGAAGCCCCATGAGGCAAAGGCCATGCTGGTCTTGTTAAGCAGGGCGTACAGTGCCTGGATCCTCACACCCCATTTTCCAGGATCATCTGCCTAAACAGATGGTGTCTCCACCCCTGTTGGGACACAGGGACAATTCCTCCAACCCCAGGAATTGGCTTTATTCCAATCTTCCCCTCCATTTCTTCCCTCCCCACCTCACATTTCCTCCATCATCAAGTCTCACTGCCTCTGCTTCCTCAATAAGCCTCAATAAGCCACAAACCCCTTCACTGCTCTCCATTTCCACTGCTCTCATCCCAGGGCAGCCAGTGTCACCGCTCACTTGGACTCTGCTAACCAGAGTCTGGCTTAACCCTTGTATCCCTTGTAATCCAGGCAGTGCAGGTAATCATTGTCAGCCCCATTTAGATCATCCTGTCCTCAAAACCCCGAAAGTCTTCCCATTGCTGCACTGTGGAAGTCTTACCATGCCCTGCTGCTCACATCACAGGCCCCTAACTCACTCTGC